GTTATAATTGATAGATATTGACTCATCCTTGTCATGATGTTTTACTGTTGTTGGCTCTTTTATTTCTTATTTTTTCCCCCTTTCCCTTCAGTTTCTTACCTTGCCTGGTGGCTTCTGTCTGTTGGGCCTCATGAAGTTGTGCCCTTCATTGTCTTTTTGTAGGATATTGTTTAGAATTGTTTGGAGTGCTGGTTTGGTGTTCATGAAATTTCTCAGGTGTTCTTTGTTTAGAAGTATCTAATTTCCCCATCGGTTTTGCAAGATAATTTTTCAGGATACAACAGTTTAGTTTGGAAGTTATTTTCTTTTAGGGCTTGAAATACTTCACTCCAGGCTCTCCTTGATTTGAGGGTTTGTGTTGAGAAGTCTGCTGTGATTCTGATGGGCTTTCCTTTGTAGGTGATTTGTTTCTTTTCTCTAAAACTGCCTGTAGGATTTTGATCTTCTGTTGGGTTGCTGGGATCTTGACTATTACATGTCTAGGTGTAGATTTTTTTTGATCATTAGCGCCTTTTTATTTTGAGACAGAATCTCAGTGAATTGCCCATGTTGGTCTTGAATTTGGGATCCTCCTGCCTTAGCCTCCCAAGTAGCTAGAACTATAGGCATGCTACTACCCTCACCTTACATACTGTTTTTTAAATCACAAAATTGATTTATGACTCTGGAATTTATTTTTATATTTGTAGGTGTTTCATTAAAAAGAAAAACTGCCCAGAAGGACTTAGTGATATTTACTCCAATTTGAGGTCTTATAGAGAGATTTGGAATGTGTCCCATGAATATTTAGTTGTGCCACTATGGTAATGTATAAACCATACCCTGCAGTACTTACTGGTTAAATCTACATATTCTTTTAATAGGTTAAGATTTAAATTCTAGATTTGAAGAGTGTGGCACACAAGGTGCCACAGATACAGATTATGCAAGACTGTAGATGCTGAAAGCCATGTGTGCTACTCCTCCCTGCAGATGTTAGGAGAACATCATTCCTTTGATAGATCAAGCTGTCTTGTTCATGGAGAGAGGCTTCAGCATTGTTCTTATGAAACCTTATCAAATGTTTACTTGATTTTATATTGAAAGTGGGAGACTGTAGAGGTTTAATTTCATGCAAGTTTAAAAGTCTGTTTTCTTTCTTTTGGGGAGGGGCTGTTGGTATGTAGTTGTGGGTGGCCTTGGGCCCTCTGTGTAGCCCAGGCTGTCTTATGTAGCCCAGAATGAATGGTGATCTTCCTGCCTCAATCTCCTCAGTGCTGCACAGGCATGTGCTACCATACCTTGCTTAGCTTTTTTAATAAGCCATATTTTATCTCTTTTTTACTTTTTGTTTCTTTTATAGAAGGAGAGAATAGGGGAGAGAATTTCTCAGAAGTACTGATTATGTGACTAAATGAGTTTGACTTTTTATGTATATTCAAAGAGAAGTTAAGTCTCACGTGAAAAATAGTTATCTAATAATTAAAGTTGTCCTGGTAGATTAATATTTAACCAATCTTGTGAATTTTTCTAGAGGTTATTTAACCAGACATCATTTCATGTTCTAGTAAGATAGCATAATAATGATGGTTAGTATGATATTAGTTCTGGTTTTGATTTCACTCTGAGACATGGTTTAATTTTTTTTTTCTTGACAGAGCAAATTCGATTAAAGAATATCAGAAAAGTATATGGAAGATGTATGTGGTATCGTTTGCGGTTATTAAAACCCCAGCCAAATATTATTCCCACTGTAAAGTAAGTAATGGATTTCAATAAAAAACATACTTACTGCTTTTAATCTTTGCTAAGTATCATACAAAACAGAGGTATGACGATGCCTAGGACATGTGTCTGTAAAGAAACTGCAGACTGCAGTAAAGGTAAGATATAATTAGCAAGTTAGAGCTGTCTTATTGGAGTGGTTTAGGAGTCCAATGGTGGAGAAAGAGATAAGTCAAATTTTGAACGAAGACCTCATATACCTTGTTATAATTTGAGTTTTATGTTAAAGTCTATAGGGGAAATCTTTAAAAGGTTTCAAAAGCATGCACATGACATGATCAAGTTGGCATGTCATGGTGATAATTAAAGTTTATTGAGCACCTAGTGCTAGACAGGTGCTTTATACATTATCTGATTTAATTCTACATTAACTACAAAGTAAATGTTTTTGCTTTTCCTCGGACTGAGACTAAGATGCAGCTAAAAGTTCTGGAGCCAGCTACCTAGTTACCCTTTATTTTAACAGGATAAACAGGCCACTGGCATGTTCGGTTAGAGCAAGCCTGTTTGATTCTGTGTTAATTCAAGGGACTTAAATTGTATTTCTTTGTTAAGTTTGATTCTGCCTTGTTTAGTTCCTTTGTAAGGAGAGGAAAACTTAGCTTTGGTATTTGGTGTTGATCAGTGATGTGAAACTAAAGGCAAAATTAGGCTTGACAAGAGTAGCTTTCTGTTTACCTTTGTTTATTCTTTGCTGTTGGCTCTCATTTTAAATTAAGCTTTTGTATAACATCAGGGACAGTATTTTTATAACCTCTCAATCCTCTTTTTTCTGGTTCTGTTCCATACTTTTTTAGCTTGTAAATCTTAGTTTTCAAGAAAAAGACCAAAACACTTCTGAAGATTTTTTTCACTGATTAATGAATTAATTTACTGAAATCAAAGTGTAGATTTAAAAAGTAATTAGATTATGGTAACAATATAGATAAGGTTAGAAACTATCAAGGTTTTTTTTGCTACTTAATCCCAAAGGATACTTTGAAAATTAAGCATTGTGTAATCCTTCTCTTTTCAAAGCATTCCTGAAACTGAAGTTTATAACTTTTAGAAGTTGTTTCCAAAATGATATATAGAGTGTGCCTAAAGGAAATATGCAAGACATCACAGTATAATAATTACTGAAGCTACATGCAGAGAAAATGCCTCTTTTGGGGGAGCCAAATAGGCTTTGAGAAAACCTGGCAGGAGCATGATGGTAACCCATTATGGGTTTTTTTTTTTGGTTGGGGGCACTGGGGATCGAACTCAGGACCTTGTGCTTGTGACGCAGGCACTGGAACCACTGAGCTAAATCCCCGGCCCTCCATTATGTTTTTCCACCATTGTTTTGGCATTCAAGAAATTAGAGCATGTTTTAGTGGTTGTGGTAGTTATTGCCAGCCTGATACAAAACTAAGATCCAGTGCCAGGAAACTCCAAATAAATCAGAAGAGAAAAGTTATGGTTTATGCTTTTTTGTAGCTATAATTATCATCTCCCATTGATCATCTTGGCCAAAGTTAAGGATTGCTTCTTGGAGGTGGACTACTATTTTTTTTTAACTTTATATATTTTATTAGTACATATTTCTCATACATATTGATCATATTCAACAAAGGGAATTTGTACCTGTACATAATACATCTTGCTTCTTTTTTTTCCTTCTCGCCTCCCCTCCCTTCAACCCTTTTTTCCCCTCCATTTACAAGAACTTTGTTTCCATTTTTTTCTTTTTGTTCTCTTTTTTCCCCTTTTCCCTTCCTTCCCTTCCCCCTCCCTCCTCCCTTGTTCCCTTTTCCATTTGAACATGTTCTTCCTGCTTCCCAATATCTGTCCTCCATTATGTTCCTTGTTTACCCTTTGGGTTTCTCACATGAGAAACAAAATGATATTTACACGGTGTGTCCAGTTTATTTCACTTAAGATTGTGGTCTCAAGGTACATCCATTTTCCTACAAATGACTCAAGGTCATCCTTCTTTATGGCAGAGTAGTACTCCATTGTGTATAAATAGCACATTTTCTTTGTCCATTCATCCATTGTTGGGCATGTGGGCTGTTTCCAAGATTTAGCTATTACAGATTGTGCTGCTGATGAGTGTGCATATATCACTGTGGAATGATGCTTTTGACTCTTTTGGGAAGATATATAGGAGGGGTTTGGGTTGAGTCTTAAAGGATGAATAGAATTGGGGTAGGTAGAGAAGGGGATAGGAATTTTTGGTAGAAAGATATGGAATGCAAAAGCAAAATGGTTGGGAAAACTTAGAAAACATTGGGAAAATGAGGATTTGTTTTGTTTGAAAAATCAGGATGATAAAAGTAAGCAGGTGAGTTGGAACTTGATTATTCTATATAATTCCAGGTAGAAAGGCTCACTCTAGGCGAGCATGAAGCTAGGTTCTTACCATAAGAGCTTAAACACTGGGAAAGCTTTCTACTTTGAAAGATAAGTCAGTCTGTTTGATTTGGTCTTCTGTGATTAATTTTGTTTTTGTTTAACAAATCGTGTTCAGTATAACAAATTGCTGTTGTGAGGGGCATATAAAAATAGTCATTTCATTTCATCATCTAATGGTATGATGGTTAGTTTATACATTTATTTTTGGTACGCTATTTTATTTACAGAAATTACATTTTACAGAGCTTGAAAGCTGTTTTCTCTTTTAAATTCAACACAGTACATTTTACTTTTGTGACTAGAAAATATTTCACTATATGATTGTACCATTAATTTATTTGTCTGGTAGTCTGTTGATGGATATTTATAGATGTTTATTGTTTGTTTTGCTATTCTTTATATCTAACTACCCTTTTTATATATTACACACACTTAATTCTAGCTTATTTCCTTCTGTATTTCTTAAAGTGGAATGGGATATAGATGGAAAGGGTATGTTCTTCTTTAGGGCTTTCAGTACCTTATAGACAGATAGTGTTCAGAGTATATGTGTTTTTCTTTAGCCTCTCCAAAACTGACTCCAACATCAGTGTTTCAAGTACATTTATTAAACAGAACACATTGAAGAGACAAGAAATTAGTTTTCTTTTCAAATTATATGTTCTTTTATATATTTTTAATGAATGCACATCTTTCTGTATCTGTATTGGCTATGCATGTTCCATTGTGTAGCTGCAGCATGGTTTATTAGTCTTTTGTAAAGATTTATTCAGTTAGTTCCCTGCAAATGGAGATTAGGTTATCTCCAAAGATTTATTATTATCAACAAGGCTGTTTATCTTTGCACAATTGTCCAGTTATTTTTACTAATAAAATTGCTCTTGACCTTGCAATTATACTCTTAGTAATATAAACTTTTTTACATTACGTGGCTTACTGAACATTTAATATGTATATATTTTGATCTAATTTAACGAGTCCAGTAAATTAATAAGTTGAATTAACTTCTACACTTGTAAATAGTAACTGAGAAAATGTATTATATGGGAAAAATTACTAGATTCTAGAGAATTCAAAGGTGAAAAAGGCACTGTCTTTGTTGTAACAAGAGTTTTCAAGTCCACAGTTGTGGAAGTTGAGTGACTAGCATAGTGATAGGGAACTGCTCTCAATTGTTTTATGCCTTGACCTTGACATAATGTCATTAGACTCTCACAGGAAAGCCATTCCAATGTATTTATTTATACTTCATTTATCTTTTTCCTAACAGAAAAATAGTTCTGCTTGCAGGATGGGCGTTGTTCTTATTCCTTGTATACAGAGTTTCCAAAACAGACCGAGAATATCAAGAATACAATCCTTATGAAGTATTAAATTTGGATCCTGTAAGTAGTTTTATATAATGCTATTAAGGCCACGTCTAAAAGAACTTGGACCATGCCTAAAGAAAGCAGACCTTGGTCAGTTAAATTTTTTTATTAAAATGAAATACTTTATTCATTATCATTCTAGTGTATGCTTTTTCAAAGCCTCAGCTTTTGATTACCATATTATTAAGGAGTCATTTATAATTGCTAAAATATAAGACTATTTAAAGATCAGAAGTTAAAAAGACATCTGTGAGACTGGTTTAGTGAAAAGTTAAAAATAAAACTGGGAGGTTATTTGTGTATGTTAGAATGATATATAAAGCTTACTGACTTGTGTTGATTGGTGTTTAGGCAGTTTATTAAGGTTGGGTTGCAGGATCCTATAAGGAACTCATTGTCACAGAAATTCAAGTTAACATTGGGTATGCTCCTTAGGTTCTTCATTGAAGTTGATTGATGAGTCCCCATAGAAAATTAGTCTTTTGGTTATGTCATTAGAACACCAGAACTGAAATTAATAGTAGAAATCATGTAGCTTTTTTCAGATAGAGAAAACAAGGCCTGAAAAACTCATCTAGGGTCCTGTAGCTCTTTAGTGGTCAGATTGAATCTAGTATCTTTCAATTTTTTACACAGACTTCAATTTTTTTTTCTCTTTTTAACTTCTGATTTGCTAAATAGATGGCTTGATCCAGAGATTCATATAATACAAAGTAAGAGAGTGTTCATCTTTTAGTTTTCTACTTTGTAGAAGAAAGTTTGTATACAATCTTGATTTTTCTATAAGTGATGATCATGGTAATCAGGAGTGTAAGATTAAAGGGTTAGCAATAAAAATGATATGAAAAGTTATTGGTATAAAGTAAGACTGACTAGGGAACAGGCCAACTTTTTAAATGTTTACTTAGTATGAAAATATTGGTAAGCAGTTGAAATCAAGTATTCAGGTTATAAGGGAAGTTAACTTTTGATTTGAAGGTTATTTGAATCAGTCTTAATTTTGGGGGGGGGTACTGGGGATCGAACTCGGGACCTTGGGCTTGCACAGCAGGCGCCAGAACCACTGAGCTAAATCCCTGGCCCTTGAATCAGTCTTAATTTACTGTGATCATTTTTTGATATCTCACTATCAGTATACTTGTATTTTTTAAAAATTTGGCAGTATGTGGTTTTATTTTCAAATCATCAGTGCCTAGCATACTGCATGAAACACTGTACATGGTCAATAAAATAAATATGTAGGACCAAGTAGGTAGTTTTTATTTAAAAATACATAGGATAAAACTTATGTGACAAAATCTATAGTATGAAGTAAATGTCATTGCTTTTGTTAGGATATTGAGTAGTTCATGTTCAGAATAGGTTCAAAATACGATGTATTTCTTTACAACATTGTGCTAACACGAAGCTTTTTTGTTTTTGTTTTTTAAGGGAGCAACAATAGCAGAAATTAAGAAACAGTATCGTTTGCTGTCACTTAAATATCATCCAGATAAAGGAGGTGATGAAGTTATGTTCATGAGGATAGCAAAAGCTTATGCAGCGTAAGTTCTGTAGGAGCCATTACACATTTTAAAGAGGGATAAAGCTAGTTTTGTTTTAATAGAATAAATGCCGTATATGCTTTTATTAAATACTAGCTTCATATGTTCGAGCCTATCACTTATGGAACTTCTCAGCAGCTCTAAAATTGTAATTTAATTAAATCTTAATTTTTTTTTTTGGTACCAGGGATTGAACTCGGGTCCTTGCACTTGTGCAGCAGGCGGCAAAACCACTGAGCTAAATCCCCGGCGTGAAAGCTTAATTTTTAAGAAACTTAGAATTGGCACTTAGGGTAATGATTTTGCCATGTGACCTTAGTTAAATTAAGTAGTAAGTGATGAGTTAATTGAGCTATTTTCAAAGCATCCTAAATAGAAAAGGGTATATGCATACTTTGTTATTGAGGCTCTTTATTAAGCTAGATTTGTTTCTCTTTGGCAATGCAGTTGTCTCATTTTAACTATTTAAAAGCAAATTTAATTTTTAATTTCATTTTTATATTTCATCTTTTTTTAGAATTTTATTATGATAAATTTCTAGTTTTTGTTAAATGTACTTGTTGAGGTGTAGGTTTTTAAATTTTTTGCTTAGAATCTTTTTAAGGAATCTTCACAGTGTGCATATTTTTCTTGTTGGATTCAATACAGAGTGAAGTGAGGTGTCTTATTGTAAAAAACATATTAGTCTCAATGCATGTTATGCATACTTTTGTGCAAGGAGATAGAGTGTATAAAATTAGAAGTAGTTATTCTTTGAGTGTTAATGTTACAAGAGATTAAAGAGCTGGAGTCTTCAGGACTCCTGATGGGTACATCCTCACAAAGTTATGTTGCATTAAAGGGTAAAACATAAAGGAGGGTTCAGTGATGTATAATTTTGCAAACTAGTTTAAAGAATATACATAAATAATAGACTCATATAATAGCAAACCGAATGTGGCATGTGAATGACAAAAATTTGGGAAATGTCTTATTCATTTTTGGGCTTAGATACAGACTTTGTACCTATTTTCTGAATTTTTGATGGATTCCTGGTTATATATGTGAAATCTGTCTGATTTATAATAAAGCAATGTCATCCAGGAACTTCTGAAGTGCATATTATGTTTTCTGCACAGCTGGTGTCCTTCAGATTGCTGTTTTTCAGTTAGTGCCTCCCTTTTTCTTCTTTTCAGTGTATCTTCTTCAAGCATTTGCTCTCTTTGCGCAAATATTGCTGTGCCTTAATTGCTGTCTTCAGGTAGTTTAAGAACTGAAGATTTCCAAATGAAATTAGATAGCCAAGATTATCCAATTTGTAGTTTTGATTTTAATGCTTTTGGCCCTCTACCCTAAGTCTTCTATAACAAGTTCATGGTTTTTTTGCTGGTTTTATTTATCATGTACAGTTACTTTCCTAAAGAGTGCAGAAAAATAAGGCTTTCAGTTTTAATTCAGTCTTATGATAAAGTTATAGAATATTTTGCATATATAATATCAGAAATAGTTGATGGTCTGTCATTCCAGGGAAGTAAAATGATTGTTGGACCCAAAACTTTGAGATCTTATGATTTATCCAAGTCCAACTAAATTAGGCAAAGGTGTGTATTTTGCTAAATATAAGTTCTGAGTAATTTATTAAAGCTCCTGTCTTATACGTCTAGCGGCCCCAAGTTAACTCAAGCAACCTCTGCAGTGCAGTTACATAGACCTTGATCTGCGAAGATATTTTAGGATTTGCTTTATTTGGGATATTTTTTCTTCCTTTATTTGCCCATTATAATATTGTAAACTAGCTAGACTGTTCCTGTTTTTTCATAGCAAATTCTAACTTATAAGAAAGAAAGTGTGGTTATTTATTTTTAAGGCTTTTGCATTGTCTATTTCATTCTTCCAAACATAGTCAAGATTGGGCTTTAATGTGTAAGAGCACTGCTCTTACACTGCTGTGGGGTAAGTGGGTAGCATAGGTGTTACTTTGAAGATATTTTTATTTTTAAAAAGGCATGTGTTTCCATATGCTCCTATACATGCATATATAATTCAATTTTACATAGCTAACACATGGTTACTCGTAACATTTAATGAAAGCATGCTCTATACCAGCATTTATATTAATCTGGGGTCCCCAAAATTGTATACAGGCTTTATGTGTATTTCTAATGTGCATTTTTCCCAGTGTCAAGGGAGCATAGGTGCGCTGGGCATGGTGGCGCGTGCCTGTAATCGCAGCACTCGCAAGGCTGAGGCAGAAGAATTGCTGTGAGTTTGAGGCCAGCCTGGGGTACCCAGTGAGATCCTATCTGAAAAGACAACAGAAGCAAGACTAAAGGCGGGGGGAGATTGGATTTATTAGATTCTTTTTTTTAAAGTGGGGAAAATTATATATTTCACAACTTTAAGGTTTTTTAAAATTAGATTCCTAATAGGATTTATATCCTTTCCTTTCACTTCCCCCAAAAGTTAAGAGATACAGTCATGCTTAGGAAACTATATTCATTGGATTTTTAAAACTTATGATAGTATAACTGATCTTATTTAAACTTGCTGTATTAATTATACTGAAATCACATAGCTTCTATATATAGTTTAAGTTCTGTTTTGTTACTTTTCATATATTGAGGCATTTTATTAATTTGTATGTGTGGATTATACCCCTAGAAAAAGAATCCCAAGATTTTCCTCCCTGTGTATCTTAATCTTGCTTCTTTGTGGTGTATGATGCTAGTTGAAATTGTCAGTGCAGTGAAACCAAACTGATGGAGTGAGAGCAGATTATTTTGCTTTTTCTAGCTCTTTGAGTTATACATAAAATCTAGGGATGATTGCTTCACACTTGTTTAAGCTGCTTTTGAGGCTCACCATAGTTTTTCCAGCTCTGTGATCATCAGTGATGTAAATTCATCAGTTAGAAACTGGATAATGACTTTGGAGCATGGCCTGATAACCTGGAATTTGTTTCACTTTTCAGCATTGTTGATGTTCTAACCAGGACATACGTGTACATCATTAAGGGGCACATGGAAAGATGGTGGAAAGTTACATTAATTCTTAGAAATAGTATAGTGAATCACCCAAAAGTAGCAAAAAATCATTTTCTGTCTTAAACTTACTTTTTTTTTTTTGGTACCGGGGATCGAACTCGGAACCTTGCGCTTGCGAGGCAGGCACCTGAACCACTGAGCTAAATCCCTGGCCCCTTAAACTTACTTTTTAAAAAGTTACTGATTCCTTGAATTTGATTGTATTAACATGGTCCCTGTCACATGGCAGTTGTACAGGTCATTTTATTGGAGCTAATGTTGTTTTAAGCAGGTGTACGTGTGTGAATAGGCTGCAAAATCAAGTGTTTCTATGATGCTCGCTGTGGTTTATTTTGCAGAATCTGAGGGTATTGTATAGAGATCCAGGTCATTGTTGCCATCGTCAGAAAGGCAGAAGGGAACAGAGATAATTATTTGGAGGAGAAAGGTCTGATTGGGAGACAGAATATTGAAATAGCTAAATCCCTGGGTTTGGTTTCACAGGGAAACTAAAACAGATATTTTGAGAAATTTCCCTCTCAGCTGAAAAGATACCTTAGTACTACTATTAACTTGGAACCAAAAGCTTTTCAGTGATTCCTATATCTTATTGTGGCCTTGCATCAAATAGAATGGAAATTATAGTTAAATAAGGACTAAAAATAGCAAGGCACTCATTTTCATGCATGACCAATTTGATATTTAAAAATATTTTCAAATCATTAAAAAGAAGTAAGTACACTTTTTGCTGTTATATGAAGGTATTTCTCCATTGTGTCTCTCAATTTGAATCTTTGTTGAGTAGGAACTGTGTTGCCTCTTAAGTTCTGGAGATAGAAACATGGTTAAAATTATATTTGAACATAAACAAAATTTTTGCTAGTTCTATAAGAATGGCTTCCTTATTTCTAGTCATTTTTTTTGTGGGTTTGCCATGTCTTCCTTAACTACACTGTAAAGTTTTTGATGCAATTGATAATTTGTCTTAATGCTTTTTAATATTTATGCTGGAACCTGGAATAAAACCATTTGACTTTGTGTCTTTAGCCATTGTGCAGGTCATTTACATTTAGGCATTTAAAAATCACTGTGTTGCTTTCATCTTGCCTGGCCCAGGAAACTGTTGTTTAGGAGTACTTTTCTGGTTTTACTGGCATTTGGCTTAGGAGAAAATTATGATCTTATTGTAATGCTAATGACCTTTTCCACAGCAGTGGAGTTTTACAGGTGATATTCATTTGTTTTAGTGTTTTGGAGGGAGGTACCATTATGCATTGTTTCATATTTTTAAAAGATGTGTCTATTAAAATGTAAATATGTTCATTGAATAAATTTTGGAAAATATATGAAAATGGAAGGGAAAAAAATCACATATAACCCTCTTTGCCTTCTCGGGAAATGTCATGGCCTTTAACTTTGGTCTCACTTGAACTAACTAAAGCTCTGGGTCAACAAGGAATTTGTATCAAGGCTCAGTAGTTAGTAACTTTTTTTTGGTACCTGGGATCGAACTCAGATCCTTGCACTTGCGAGGCAGGCGGCAGAACCACTGAGCTAAATCCCCGGCCCAGTAGTTAGTATTTTCTGTTGACACAGCATTTCTTGCTCCGCACTTTCACCCGTCTTCTGTTTTCAGACTTTTCATTCCCTAAATCAGTATCCTCTTAAAAAATGAGTTCGTATATACAAGTACATATTTTTCACATGTGGCCTTTTGATTTTGTTAACTTTGTTGTTTTTATGCTAGTTTAACAGATGAAGAGTCCCGAAAAAATTGGGAAGAATTTGGAAATCCAGATGGGCCTCAAGGTAAATGATGATTGTAAAATATTGGTGATATGGTATTGATAAGGAAATAAGGCACAACATGGCAGGGTGTGTCTGTTCCCAAGGGCCCCCCCCCTATGTTTTTGCCAGAAATCATAAGATGTTTTGTTAAAGCTACCTCCACCGCAAATGTAACTGTTCAAGCGGTGTAGCTGTTCAAGCATCCTAACTGCAGATGTAGCTGTTCAAGCTGCAAGATGTTCCTACCCGATGTTTCAAGATGTTCTGTTAACTCCTCCCTTCTGCTTTGGTAAAGGAGCTTGGTGGTCATGTCATGTTAGCCCAACCCCTCTACCCCATAGATCTCTATATAATGTTGCTTCCATTTCTGTTTGGGGCTCAGACTTCAGAGTCTGAATTCCTCTGGGCTTGCTGGCGTAATAAAGGTTCCCTCCATTTCTCCAAGTGCCTCTTGACTTTTTTGCCTCCAGAGACCTGATAGCTGTAACACTTGGTTGTAGTGCTGAGCTGTTACACTTTGCTATAACATTTGGTTCCCTGAATGGGAAGCTGACCATGCTGGCCTCTTGAGCCACTGGATGGAGCTGAGGAGCAGCTGACGGGGGCCCTCTGTGGGAGAATGAGGTGTTGCGCCCCTGCCCAATTGGCAAGACCTCCTTTGACTGGTGAAGGCACCCACTGGTTGCACTCATGCCTCTAGCCTGGACTTGGAGGAGAGGTAGACTGGTTCCCCATTGGGAGTTCAGGACAAGGTAAAGCCCCAGGGCCCATCTCAAGTCAGGCCAGTCCCTTTGGATAGAAAGGGAGACTGATCACCTCCACAGTTTCAGAATGGAGAGTCCAATTAGGATTTTTCCCAAAGTGGGGAGTAGTGTTTAAACTTTAAATGATTGTCTGATTGGGCGATTGCAAAGGGTTTGCGGCTTGTGACAACCGGTCTGTGCAGCTCCACAGCTTTGGCTATGGATTCTTGAGTGGGTCCTAACCTGTGGTTCTGTGGCACCATCATAGAGCATAACAGTGACTCACCTCCTGTAATAGGAGGTTTACCAGTCCTGGGATTATGGGTGCACCTTAGCCAAGATATGGCTAAATTCCCTCGAAGGACAAGGCCAGGTGGGCACCTGAGTGATCTCCTTTGGGGGACTCTCTCCCCTTGTCTGTTGTGTTTCTGTTCAAGGGACACTACATACACTATGGTCAATACACCCACTAAGCTTGCTGTCTTAAACTGTATGGTCAAAAATTTTAAGAAGGAAGGGTCAGGGACTTAGCCCTGGCACCAAAAAAAAAAAAAATTTTAAGAAGGGATTTAGTGGGGAGTATGGAGTTAAACTGAAGCCCACAAGGTTATGAACCTTCTGTGAAATAGATTGGCCCCAGTTCAATGTAGGGTGGCTCTCTGAAGGAACTCTAGATATCCAGACAGTGCATGTAGTATGGAGAGTTGACACTGATAAGCAAGGCCACCCCAACCAGTTACCTTATATTGACTCTTGGCCAGAGATTGCTCAGAAACTCCTGCCGTGGGTCTGATTTTATGTGAATAGGAAGGGACAGAGTCAGGTTTTTGTGGCCTGTAATCTGAACCAAAGACCCATAAAAGACAAGATCATTTATCAGGGTGACCCGGAAGAAGACCTTCAGCCCTCACCTTATGTTCTTTAGACCCCTTCAGTGCTTCCCATATTAGCCTTGCCTGACAGTCCACTGCCATCCAACCCTCCACCACCCTTAGATCTGCCACCACCTGCCCCAGTGGCCGGGCCACGTCCAGTGCTGCCAATGTCTCCAAACTGTCCACTTTTCAATCCTCCAGCATTTCTGTATCCAGCCAGTCCCCTTCTCTATCCACTGCTCTCTGCACCAGCCTCCAGCCCCACCACCATCACAAGTGACACGCTTTTCCTGAGACTCCTCTGATCAGACACCTTCTTCTAGCCCAGCCTTCTGCCATTCAGCTGCCTATCCATGAGACCTGACCTCTGCTCTGCATCCTGGACGACAGCACTGTCCAGCTTGGAAATACAACTCTCTACTACCAGTCCTTCACCACAGCTGACTTTCTGAACTGGAAATAGCATACCCCCTCTTACTCAGAAAAGCCTCAGGCCCTCATTGACCTCATGGAATCTGTCTTCCAGATGGAAGATTGCCCATCTGGGATGACTGTTGCCAGCTGCTCCCCGCCCTCTTCAACAGTAAGGAGAGATGCAGAATTTGCACCTAGGCCAAAAAATACCTACAGGAATAGGCCCCTGGGGGGATCCATGGACCCTGAACAATGGGCAAGAACTGCACCTCCTGATACCAAGCTGGATTGAGACTTTCACACCCCTGCCAGACAAGCCTTTCTCAAGCGATATTGAGAGCCATGGGCGGGCCAGTCCATGCTGGAGCTAAAAAGCCAACAAAACATGTCAGTAACTAAAAAGCCAACAAACATGTCAGTAGCTCAAAAGCCAGACAGATCGCCTGGAGATGTCTGTGAGCAACTGTATGAAGCATTCTGTGTCTTTCATGCCTTTTGACCTGAAGGCCCCTCAAAACTAGTGCATAGTCAATGCTGCTTTTGTAGCCCAATCTGTTACTGGTACCTGCCACAAACTCTAGAAACTAGTGTGTTTCCCTGGCATGAACACCACTCAGCTGCTTGAAGTTGCCACAAAGATCTTTGCCAGCTGAGACTGCGAATCCCAGCATGAAACCCCCTTCTGTCCAGACCAATGTGCATATTGCAAAGAGATTGGACACTAGAAAAATGAGTGCCCCAATCAAAAGGGAAGCACACTTAATCAGAAGTCCTCCAGTCATGCCAGCCCTCAATACCAACCTGAACCACCAGTGCCTAGCCTGATTGGACTTGCAGAGATTGAATCAGATTAGGAAGGACCAGGCCCTCTCACTCTGGGCCCCCAGAAGCCTATAGTCAATATGACAGGGGCCAAACAATGACTTTTATGTTGAACATAGGGGCTTAACATTCCCTTGTGACCAAAGGGATACCACCATCATGGGAGGAACTGGAATTCAGATGGTATGGCTATTTTGCCAAGCATGGATCTGCCAATTGGGAGGACATGAAGTGATCCATGTGTTCCTATATCTGCCTGAATGCCCTAAATCTCTCCTGGGAAGAGCCCTATTGACTAAACTGGGGGCACATGTAATGTTTACCCTCGAGGGACCTGCCAACCTGACCCTAGGTGCCCAGAGGGTACTGATACTGTCTGTAACCATCCCCAGAGAGGATGAATGGAAATTACATGGTGCTAATTGGGAAGAAATACCCCCCCGCCCCCGAGTTACTGGACATTTTCAGAGGTCTGGGCTAAAAAGTCCCTACCTGGGATGACCAAGAATCAGGCCCCAATCCTGGAAGAACTTAAATCTGGGGCAAAGCCTGTCAGACTGAGACAATATGGTATACCCAGAGAGGCGCAACTTGGGTTCAAGGAACACATCAGCTGGCTGAGGGGTGGAAGCATTCTGAGAGAATGCCAGTTCCCTTGGAACACATCACTGCTGCCAGTTAAAAAGGTGGAAATGGATACCAACTGGTACAGGTACAGGACCTCTAGGCAATCAGCAATGCCACAGTTACTCTGCATCCAGTAGTTCCAAACTCCTGCACTCTGCTGAGCTTGTTCCTGCCTCAAGTGGTCTGGTTCATCCTCCTGGATCTTAAAGATGCTTTCTTATGCTTGCAGCTGGGCCCCCAAAACCAGCTGCTCTTTGCCTTCTAATGGGAAGACCCCAATACTGGGCAAAAGACACAGCTAACCTGGACAAGACTTCCTCAAGCCTTCAAAAACTTTCCCATGCTATTTGGGGAAGCCCTGTCTGCTGACCTAACTGCCTTCCCAGGAGATAAATTAAACTGTACTCTGGTCCAATATGTAGATGACCTCTTGCTGGCAAGTGAAAATGAACAGGATTGTTGGGAGGGGACACAGGCCCTTCTGCAGCTGCTTATGGATGCAGGTTACAAGGTGTCCTGGAAAAAGGCACAAATATGCTGACCTTCTGTCTAGTACCTGGGGTTCATTATAACCAAGGGACACTGCTCCCTGGGAATGGAAAGAAAACAAGTCATCTGCTCCCTCCTGAGACCTGATAATAAAAAGAAACTCCATGAATTCTTGGGAGTAGCCATGTTTTGCCAAATCTGGATCCTGAGGTTTGCAGAAAAGGCCAAGCCCCTCTATACTGCCCTGATTGGACCTGAGGGGGAGCCTCTAAAATAAGTAATTCAGTAGGGAATCAGCCTTCAAAGGGATCAAACGATTCCTTATCAACACTCTAGCATTAGGACTGATGGACCTGAGCCTAGAATTTAATCTCTTTGTTTATGAAAAAGACTATGTAGTGCTCAGAATCCTGATTCAATTGGAAGGGCCCTGGCAGGGGCCAGTGGCCTGTCTAAACAGTTAGATACAGTTAGCAGCTGGATGACCCTCTTGGCTCTGTGCCCTAGTTACAACTGTCACCCTCATTAAAGAAGCACACAAATTGACTTTGGGACAAAACTTGGGTAAAGTTTCCCCCATGCTGTTATAACTCTCTGATGAATAACCAAGGACATAAGTGGCTATCAAATGCCAGGATGACACAGTACCAAGGGCTGCTTTGCAAAAATCCTTGAGTTACTTTAGAGACTGTTCAGTGTTTAAATCTAGCTACCTTCCTGCCAAACAAGGAAGGGCCTCCAGACCATGACTGTGAAGAAGTCACCAACGAGCTGTTCTCCAGTCGACCTGACCTCACTGAGATACCAGAGCCCAGACAGGATGCTGCCCTGTTCATGGGTGGTAGCAGTTTCATACAGGATGGAGATCAGTAGTGGGATGCACAGTTACTACAGATCAAATCTTTGAGGCAGACCCCCTCCCAAAGGGGGGAGGGGTCTGCACAGAGAGCAGAGCTCTGGGTGCTCACCGGAACCCTCAAGTGGGCAAAAGGAAAGACTGTTAACATCTGCACTGACTCTAGGTATGCTTTTGCCACAGTCCACATCCATGGGGCCATACATAAAGAAAGAGGACTACTGTGAGCAGGCGGTAAAGGGGTCAAAAATAAAAGATATTACAACCCTTGGAAGCTATCTGGGAACCTAAGAAAGTGGCCATCATACACTGCTGGGGACACCAAAAGGGGCAAGATGCTGTCATCGAGGAAACCAGCTTGTAGAGCAGGCAGCAAGCAAGGCTGTCATTCCTCACACAACGATAACCTACTCAGACTGTTTCCACAGAATTGGCCATACTCTCTAAAGATTGCCAGAATATAGAACCACTGTATGCCCCAGAAGGAAATCAGTGGGCCCAACAAGAAAGGGGATTCAAAGGCCCCAGTGCATGGTGGACTCTGCCAGATTAAAGGATGTTCACACCCCAGTGAAGAGCGTATGCCGTAGTTCAAGAATTCTGCAATTTAAACCATCTGGGAAAAGCAGCTTCTGAGGCTCTGTTGTTGCTTTCCTGGCTGTCATCCCTTTGTGCCAGGAACAACTCCCTGCAATGACTCAATCCAGCTTCAGGAGTCCAGTATACTGGGATGACACCCTTGGGGGACTTAAACTTTACTGAAGTAAAACCCTGTCGGCTAAAGAAATACCTGTTGGTCATTGTCTGCACATACTTGTGGGTTGAAGCCATTCTCACCAGCACTGAGAATGCACAGGAAAGTTGTGAAGCTCTTGTTGCATGAGGTCATCCCTCAATACGGACTGCCCCTAATGATGGGGAGTAAAAATGGGCCAGCTTTTATGGCCGAAGTGGTACAAACCCTTGTTGACCTATTGAAGATCAGATGGAACCTCCATACAACTTACAGACCCTAAAGCTTAGGGAAAGTAGAAAGCATAAATCACACTTTAAAGACCACACTAGCCAAATGTGTCAGGAGACCTCAGAGGCCTGGATTGACGTGTTATCCCTAATCCTACCCCGAGGCAGACTGTCAGGGTATTCCCCTTAAGAGATTTTGTTTGGAAGACTTCCACCTATAATAAGGGCATTCAGAGGGGATATCAGATAGTTGGGAGACAGCAATCTAACTACAGAATTATGGGCCCTAGGCAGGATTTTCTCAAATTCATAAGATCGTTGCCGAGAGGATCCCAGTCTCCTCAGGTACCCCAGTACACCAGGGAGCTCAGTTTGGGTTAAAGACTGGAAAAAGGAACCCCTTCGACCTATCTGGACAGGAACTTACATTGTTGGTACTAGTCACCCCCACTGCAGGAGTTGTCCTGTGGGTCCATCACTCGAGGCTCAAAAAGGCCCCCACAGAGTTCCCTGTGGGGCCTGGAGAATGCACCTGGACCCTAAGAATCCCTGCAGGACTTGACTCAAACAGAAGACCCTGGAAATCAACCTGACCTCAGAGACATCACCAACAGATAACAGCCCTGCTGCGGTCACACTGAAAGCTGACTAGTCTCCGCATGGCCAAAGCCTCAGGTCACCATTCACAGGATCCTATGTACTGTCATTATCCCTGGTTTCTAGGCTTCTTTGGATGGCTTACCTTAATTTTTACTGATGGCCTTTGGTGTGGTTGCCCCAGTAGACTAGGACAGTTGCCCATAGAATTCTTCTAGCCTTCACTTTTGTCATTTGCATAGGATGTTTCATCAGCGTTCTCTGTTTCCTTTAAAGATAAGTTGCTCACCCCAGACCTAATTGATAGTAGCTGGCGCCAGTAACCTGATGCTGCTATTGTTCCCCATGGTGGTAGTCCTGGGACAATAAGACCCAGACCCACTATCCTCCCTACCTCTGTAATACCTTAGAACTGGTCCATGCTTTACTAAACTAGTCCTGTCCCAGTCTCGTAAAGGATTGTTGGCTATGCATTTCAGCTTCCTTGGCCTCCATGGAGTCCGCTCCTGTCTCACCCCAGGTTTGGTCACTGTCTACATTAGCAGGGGCCGGGGCTGTAGCTCAGTGGAACTGTGCCTCCCTTGCAAGTGCAAGGTCATGAGTTTGATCCCCGGTACCAAAAAAGAAAAGAAAAGAAAAAGAACAGGTGAAAGTACATTAGCATATCACCCCAACTTAGACCTTAAAAACTCTTTCCCCCAAGCATACAGCTACAGTTCAAAAGGATTTTCTCAGGGCCAGGCATCTTCACACTGACCCATATTTGGTCCCATCTCTACCAGTATAAAACTCACCTTTCAAGCCCTCCTCTGCATAAAATGGCCCTCCCCTCTGGGGAGTCTCTGCCCCTCTGCTATCTCAGGGTACTGTTCAGCACTAGGGCATCTGCTACCTTCTGATTTTAATTTCATGTTAGTCTTACACCCTCCCTGCAATCATCTTGATGTACCAATCTTTGGTACACACAAACACCGCTTCACTAGCCTGCCCAGATTCAACATCTCACAGTTGGTTAATGTGGGATCCCACTTCTGTAGGGGACATGAGCTCCCCTACCTGGGAGACATCTTTTGGAGTTTCATGACACCACCAACCCCTTCCACCTGCCTACTCTTACCAAACCTCCAGGCTCCTCCTACACTGGGAAAACAAAACTCAAGGCATTACCCAACAGACTCACAGGACAGGTGCCCCCTCTTATGAGAGCAGCCCTAGCCTTCACACTGAGTGGATGGGAGGAAGATAATGGAGTTCATTATCTTTAGCCATCATACACCACTATAATGTCCACAACCATTTTTGTCTGTTTTCTCCTGGCATTTTTTGGCTCTGCAGAACTTCTGCCTATCTCTTCCTCCCTACCACCTGGACAGGAACTTGCACCCTAGTCTATCTCAGCCCCAAGATATTGCCCCTGGAGACACTGACTTTGCAATCTGAGTCCAGGCTCACACCCAACAACACTGAACTCCTTTCCTGATACCCCTGATAATAAGCTTAGGGATAACTTCATGAATTGGGATAGGAGTCACAGGCATAACCACTGCAGCAGCCCTCACCAGTCACTGTCTCAAGAGTTAACCAGTAGCTTAGAAAAAATCTCTTAATTCTACAATAGACCTACAGAAATAGACTCTAGCTGCAGTTACTCTTTAAAACCCCTGCCTTAGACTTATTAACAGCAGAAAAGGGAGTGGGATACCTGTATCTTTCTTGGGGAAGAGTGTTGTTCCTAAGTTAACAGATTGGGTCATTCATCAGGCTGCAAAAAGTCTCCAACACAGAGCTGCCATATGCCAGGAGCAATACCAAACCAGTGGGTTTTGGAGTTTTTCCTGGGGTAACTGAACATCATGGTCTGCCCCTCTGCTCGGGACCTTAGTCCCCATGTTCCTTTTGCTGATATTTGGCCCTTTGTCTGTTTAGGTGCCTCACAGAGTTCCTCCAAGGCTGGGTTCAGGCTCTCACAAGATAATCGGTGTGTCAACTATTAGTGAGAGCTCACCTAGACTATAACTCTAGCTACTAGTGATGCCATATGAGGCTATGTTTATGTAAGAGCATCAAAAGGGGGAAATGATAGGGAAATAATGCACAACATGGCAAGCCTTTGTCTGTTCTCACCCCGTGTTTTAGCCTGAGATTATAAGGTATTTTATTAAAGCCACCTGCACTGCAAATGTAACCATTCAGGCATCCTAAATGTAACGGTTCAAGCTGCAAGATGTTCCTACTGGATGTTTCAAGATGTTCTGTTAACTCCACCTATCCACTCCTATATTATGTGCTATGAGAACCCAACCCCCCGCCTCATAGATTGCTATATAAGGTTGCTTCCATTTCTCTTTTGGGCTCAGATGTCAGAGTGTGAACTCTACTAGGTCTGCTGGCATAATAAAGATTCCCTCCATTTCTCTGAGTGCCACTCGGTTTCTTCACCTCCAGAGCTACCTTTGGATAGCTGTAACACTTGGCTGTAACACTGAGCTGTTGCACTGTGCTGTAACAGTATATATCATGAAAATGTTAACTAGATTAAAAGAATATTTTAATTTTCTTAATTTATGAATGGAAAAATTATAGTCACAGAGTTAAACATAAATTGAGCTTCCTTTATTCTTTATTTTTCTTTCTTAAGACTACTTTGAGAGAGAAAACTTTAAGCTGTGGAGAGAAGAGTAATCCCTGTCATTAATCATTTCTGCAGATAAAAATTATATGAAAAAAATCTTTTTCTTTACTGACTTTATACATTTTTTAAACTTCAGACATACACAATAATTTAGATATTTTAGGAAGAAGAAATTTGTGAACTTAAAAAGTTTTTTCTTTCTTGAAATAGTTGAAATATCATATATAAAGTAACCCTTAGCTTTTGTGTAATGAGGATCTATATAATGTAATCTTGAGTTATTTTGGTAAGGAAAAGGATGCAGAATTTTGGGATAAAAATAAATTAGAAGTAGGGACTCAGAAACTATGATATTATTCCTGTTTCAGCTACAAGTTTTGGAATTGCCCTGCCAGCATGGATAGTTGACCAGAAAAATTCAATTTTGGTGAGTACATTTAAGTAAGACACATTGTGATGTATTTGCCATAATTTTTGTTATGTGGTATTTTGTGTCTTGGTGTAATATAAAGAGAACTATAACAAGGGAAATATTGTTACGCTGTTTTTAACTTTGTATTGTGAAAGCTGTTTTCACATAGTGGTAAAATGTATTGGTTCCCAGTATTAGGCTGCTGATTTGGAGCAGTGTATTCTTAATGTAGTTTTGAAACTAAAGATATGGTAATTTGTTGTTGTTAAAATTATTTTTGTATTGAGTCCTACTTTTGATTTGGAGGAACTACTAGTTTTTAATTTTGCTTTTTTTTTTTTTGGTACTGGGAATTGAACTTGGGACCTTGTGCTTGCTTGCGAGGCAGGCGCCGGAACCACTGAGCTAAATTCCTGGCCCTGAAGAAACTGTTTTTATGATAGCCATGTTTATCCTAAATAGGATTCAAAATTTATCTTATCTTTCTCTCACCTTTACTTAGGCTAAACTAATTTAATGTGTTAAATGTTATATATTTCATATGGTACTTCAGAGGGAGTAGGACATCAGACTTCAGTCAGTGATAGTTGGTGCAATCCTAAAACATCAAACATTATCTTAATCTGTTACTCAGGAATAAGTGATTCTGTACATGAACTTTCTTGAAATTATTGTCTTAGAGCTATCTTTGAAGCAGTAGAAACAAGATCCACACAGTCTGACTATAATTAGTTATGAAAATGACTATTTTATAGCATATTAAAATTAGCTATCTTCAGGGGTTTATAGTTGCCTGTTATAAGTCATTCATTGTGGCTAGGGTTACTCTGAGAATAATAGAGACAAGTATAGCTACCGGATTTAGGATCAAGCAGTAGAAGTACAATTGAGAGAAATTAATAACAAACAGCAAATTAGGAAGTGTTGCCTTTATAGTTAGGCAGAGGAATTAGTTTGTCTTAGGGCTTCTTATATCATTTATTTCCAGGGCACTAACGACTTGCAAGGTATGTATTGATGAAGTACTCACAGGAAGGAAAACATAATTTATAAAACTGTTTTGCTGTTACCTATATCATATCAGTAAATAGCAAATTAATATATTATTTATAATAGTAGATAAGAGCACATGGGCTTTAGAGGTCAAATCCTAGCTCCACTAGTAGCTGTGTGAACCTAGGAGAATCTATGTAACCCATTACACTACGGGTAGTGTACCTACAAAGAAAAATCGTAATAGTACCTTCCTCAGAGTTTGATAATAAGAATTAAACAAGATTATATATAAGGATTCCTTTTTTGTTTTTGGTACCGGGGATCAAACTTGGGACCTTGCACTTGCAAGGCAGGCAGCAGAACCACTGAGCTAAATCCCCAGCCCAGGGAGTGCTTTGAATAGTGCTTCCCTATTGTGATCCTCAAAGTAAGTGTTCATGAATGTTGTTATAATTTGTCTGACCAAGGCTATACTATTTTCTTCTTCAATTCTAGGTTTTACTTGTATATGGTTTGGCATTTATGGTTATTCTTCCAGTTGTTGTGGTAAGTTCTAGCTCATCTATCATATATTTTTTTTGAAGACATGTTTGAAGTCTCCCTGTAAGATTTTAATTTGTATTCAATGTAATAATCCTTGAATTTAAAAATCTTAGCTATACTTTAGAGATCTTCTAAAGGTGACATTGCTTGAGTTTGTTACAAGCATATCTTTCCATTCCAGAAGTAGCATACAACTGAGATAAAAAATGGATATGCTTAGAATTTAAAATGAAATTCTTTCATGTCCTCAGTTTCTCTCAGAGGTAATCACTGCTAAATTTGTTGTTTCTTCTTTCACATTTTTTTCTGTGCATTTACATATATAAACATAAATACACTTTTTGAAAAATTGATGTGGTATATAGTATCATAATATAGAAATACCATAAAGTTTATGATTTCTGCCATTTATTATTTTTGTGAATTTGTGTTCTTTCTGATCCTGAAATTCATCTGGATCCTAGAGTGTGAAGCTAGTAATCAACCTATATTGTCTTCTTCCTGGGATTATTGTCTGAGATCCAATCATGTGATTTAATGTGAATGAAAGTATTATGTCAGCTGTAAAATTGCTCCCACATTTATTTATCAAAAATGTACTAAAGATGTGATGTGTGAGCTGTGCACAGTGGTGCATGCCTATAATCCCAGGTGCTTGAGAGGCTGAGGCAGGAAGATAGTAAGTTCAAGCCCAGCCTAGGCAACTTAGCAAGACCATCTCAAAATAAAAAATAAGTACTGGGACTGTAGCTTAATGCAGAGATCCTGGATTCAAGCCTAGACCCACAAAACAACAGCAAAACAAAAAAAAGTGTTGTGTGTTAGGAACTGTATTATTCATAGTAATGGATGTTCTTATTCCTATTTTGTATTTTAACAGTTTCTACCAAAAGCTAAGGTTTTGTTTTTTGCTTTAATTTTTTTATTGGTACATTTTAGGTATACAATATGTTTACATTTATCATTGGGTGCTTGTACCTGTAGAAGATGTATCTTGGTGAAAGCAAAGTTTTAAAATCATATATGAAATAATTCAGTTTTGGTGTTTAGACTTCAGGCAATATATATGTTTGCTAAATAAATCATTTGAAATATACAACAAAGTACTGTAGATAAAGCTCACATGTTTTTACTGGTTTATGAATATTTGGTACATTTGCCCATAAACATATTTTGCATCAAACTAAACATTAATTATTGTTTTCATGTTTTATTTTTTGTTTAATCTTATTTGTCTTTTAGGGTTCTTGGTGGTATCGCTCGATACGCTACAGTGGAGACCAGATTTTAATACGCACAACACAAATTTATACATACTTTGTTTATAAAACCCGAAATATGGACATGAAACGTAAGTATATTTAAGTAACTGTGTTATTAGTTGCATTATTTTATGTGGAGTTGATATATATATATTTCCTTCCTGTGCTGGAAAAATGCGATTTTTCAGTTTCACAGATGATCAGTTCTTATAACTAATACTGGAGGAAAATGTTAATACTCTTTATCACATTTCTTGATTTGTGTTTACATTATTCCTCTTTAGTCAGTTATGTAGATTAGACATGGCAGATTTTCATATGTGCAAATTTTATAATAGTCAACATTTATTATTTATTGGATTCCAGGTATTGCTGTGGATTGTCCATGTATTATTTTGTTTAATCCTTACTATTGACTCCATAAGTAAATGCTATTTTTAAGCACATTTTATAGATGAGGAAACTAGGGAAAGAAAAGGCTGCATAGTAAATGATATAGCCAGGTTTCAACCCAGGCAGTCTGTTTCCCAACCCCTAAACCACTATATTCTGTTGTATTAAAGGTTCTAAGAATAGAAGTCTTGGGTATGTTGAAAGAAAACTGTGAGGATATTTCATTCTCAGGGTCTTATTTAAATGTTTCTTATGGGAAACAAAGGCACCATCCTAAATACTTTTAAGTACTTTCTTTGATTCCTGTCAAGCTAACTTTATAAAGTGTGTCCCAGTATATGTTTTGCTTTTCAGATTGACTGTTGTGCTGAATCATAAACACTCCTCTTTCCTTCTTAAAGAAACAAAAAACCTAAATTTAAAATGCTTTCACTGGAAACACGCTTTTTTTTTCTATAATGGAAATGGACATAGCTCTGTTTGGTATTTGCCAGTTTTACTAATTTTCTTGGTAATAAGAAAGACTTGTTATTTAGCTTCCTATTCCTCAGGCAAATGTCCAACACCTACAACTTAAAAGAAGAGAGGCTAAATTTGACTAATGGTTTCAGGGGATTCAATCCATGGTCAGCTGGCTCCAAGGCAGAAACGTTGCGGCAGAAGGGCAATGCTTAGTTTGTGATGACTGGGAAGCACAGCCGGGAAACAGTGCCAGAGAGGGCCAGGGGTTATATATAGTAATCTTCCATGACACACCCAAACACATCCAGAAGTATGCTTTACTAAAATCCATGCAGTTGTCAAGTTGACAGTTAAGCTTAACTGTTACATCTCACTGTTGTCAACTTGACACTCAATATACTTCCTTAGACCATACTTCATCCCCAAATAAATATAATGATAAGTTAATAGTTATGCCTAAGACAGTAACTATCTTGTGTCTATCTTGCACACAAATAAAAATTCAATAATCCCCTTTTCCAAACCTCAATAGTTCCATTATTCAAAAGTGCAAGTCAAAGTCTCTTCTGAGACTCAGGGAAAACTCTTAGCTGAAGGACATCTATAAAAACCAAAAACAAATTTCATAATCCCAAGGTATAATGCCACAATGTAAACATACCCATTTCAAAAGGGATGAATAAGAATATAGAAAAGAATAGCACCAAAGCAAGACCAAAACCCAGCAAGACAAACATTAAGTCCTATAGCTCCATATCCAGCACCTGAAGCATGTGATGGTGAGATGAGTACCCAAAGGGCTTGGATGGCCCCACCCCTGTGGCCTTGTTGGTTGCAGCCCACACACCTCATATGTGCCTCACTTTAGGATATGGAAGTACAGTAACTCAGGAAGGGAAGTTGATAAACCAATGTATTTATCTACCTTCACATTTCTTTTGTTTCTATAGGTCTTATCATGGTTTTGGCTGGAGCTTCTGAATTTGATCCTCAGTATAATAAAGATGCCACAAGCAGACCAACAGATAATATTCTAATACCACAGGTTAGGCCAGTCTCCCAAATTCCTTGATGAATAATTACTAAAGTTAATGCTTTTTATGTATATATTTTGAATAATTATTTTATTTACTTTAGTTGATCAGAGAAATTGGCAGCATTAATTTAAAGAAGAATGAGCCTCCACTTACCTGCCCATATAGCCTGAAGGCCAGAGTTCTTTTACTATCTCATCTTGCTAGAATGAAAATTCCTGAGACCCTTGAAGAAGGTATTTGTGATTCCAATACATATAGGGTTTTAATGGGACCAAAGCAACAGATTTAATTAAACCTCATGACGCAGTGCTTTTGAATGGCTTTTTCCCTCAAATAGTTCCTGACGACCTTTTATTTAAAATGCATATGCTAGGGCCGGGGATTTAGCTCAGTGGTTCTGCCACCTGCCTTAGAAGTGCAAGGTCCTGAGTTCCATCCCTGGTACAAAAAAACAAAAACAAAAACCATATGCTATATAATTGCTTCCTGAATAGTTTGAAGGTCCGAGATGTCTTGGCAAATGTTAAAAGTTAGTATTTCAAGTAAGGATATTCTGTATGAGAAATCTTTAGATAATTGCAGATTGTATAAAAAGCTCCTAATGAGTTTTTTAAAAAGAACTTTGTAAGCTTTTTAGAGAGACAAAATGATTTTTACAACAGATTTCTCCACTAAACTCCCCCCTCCCCACCATTTACTCCTTTCCTCCTACACAATTACCAATAGTATCTGATCTTCATTTAAAGCTTGAAGCCGTCTATTCTGTTTAAAACAAAAGCAGTGGATTTGGACAAGAGTGTTTCCAAGGATATCATTAACTTGAGTGTTGTCTCTCTCTTACCTATATTATTTCCCTTGAAGTTTTAAAAAAGTTATTATCTTAGGAAATAAATATCCTTTCTGAATGGAGTCTTATCTCCTCTTCCCCTTAAGCTAATAAAGCAATCAAATGCTTCTGAAAACAAGCCCACTTGGTGCTCAGTATAAGAAGAATGCTTATAAGGGAATGAAGGTGCACTATTTAAGCATTGTCACTGGAATTGGTTTCAGATATTAATTAGTAATTATTTACTGACTAGATATATAGCCATTTTTATTATTACCAGCCATCTTTTAGAAATAGGGAACACACCTTTTTAGGGTCAGTCAAGCCCAGTGGATGTCTTAATAGTTAATTTTTGTATGCAGAATCTAACTCTTGTCCTCTTCTCCTTCCTTCTTTCATCTCTGTTTGTGTTTAGTTGTAGTTGACATGTATTCTCATACTTAGTCTTGGAACTGAGCATAATTATAGAAACTTAAATGAATAAGAAGAAAAATTCTGAAATTTCTCAAAAATAGCAAGAGTATGATTAAGTTTATGATTAAGATCTTTTGGAAAAAGATAGGGAATTGACTTATTAAGCGTATTAATACCATCTAAAAAAATTTTGTCTTTCACATATTTAACATGAAGAAGGATTTTCTGACTGACAACCCCCCCGCCCCCCCGCCCCGTACCAGGAATGGAACTCAGGACTTGTGTTTGTGAGGCAGGCAGTGGAACCACTGAGCTAAATCCCTGGCCCTGATTTTTTTTGATAGTGAACTGAAGGAGAAATTTTTCCCTTCACCTTATAAAATTCTGAGGTCCTGTGAAATATTTGTAGAACTACTTAAATTTATTATTAATCTTGTGTTGTTTTAACTATAAAATTAGAGTGATTTGTTTCAGGTTTTTGATTGTTTTGCAGATCAGCAATTTATGCTGAAAAAATGCCCTGCTCTACTTCAAGAAATGGTTAATGTAATCTGCCAACTAATAATAATGGCCCGGAGCCGTGAAGGTGAGGAGGAAATGTAATTAAGTATGTTTTACTTTTTCTTATAAGCATATGCAGTTTATACTTGATACTTTTAAGATCTGTGGTACTTGTAATTCTTTCTACTAGTTCAATTAGCTTTTCCTATTATTACTTGTGATTTTTCTCATTTCATTGTTTTATTATTAGCTTTGCAATGATTTAACATTTTCTTCTCCTTCCTCTGGATATTTTTGGAGTTTATTCTGTAACAGTGAGTTTGAAATAATTCTTTGATATGTTGATGATTCACTTGATGTGTAATTTTTTTGTATGAGAGGAAAAGAATTGGAATTTTGGGTCAGCAGGGGAAAGGGAGAAGCTTGAAAAAGGCAACAGTGGTTATAACTTATTTTGGGTGATATTAGTTGTTGGCATAGAACCAGTATATTCATAGTACTGATGATGTCTGACAATTTACTGTTATTGGAGCTGATGCAAAGAATTTTTAAAATAATTATTGTTGCTGGTAATGTGCTTATAACCAATTTTGCATATTTTTAAAATGGATTCTCTAGTAACTTGTATAGGAAAATTAACATCATAATCTTAAATTTTGAGGTGATAAAGATATTACTGCAAACAAGTTAATTTTTTTTATGATGAATTGTTTGCTCCGGAACATGTAAAAAGTCCAGCTCTGTTGTTTCTTTTTTCCTATTCTTTCTAAGAAAGGGAGTTTCGTGCTCCAACTTTGGCATCCTTAGAAAACTGCATGAAGCTTTCCCAGATGGCTGTTCAAGGCCTTCAGCAGTTTAAATCTCCCCTTCTACAGCTCCCTCACATTGAAGAGGACAATCTTAGAAGAGTTTCTAATCACAAAAAGGTAAATCTTTCTTACTTGAAAGTCAGTTTTTAGCAGTTTGTTACTTAAAGGTAGTATGAATAAAAATGATTACTATGAATTTCTTAGATTTAGACTCTTAAACATTCTAAAACTAACTCTCAAGTGGTTCTATTAACATTTTCTTGATTGGGTGGTGGTTTTATAATATTTTGCTACTGTAAGTAATGTTACTGTATTTTGGGGCTCAGTGCATTTTCGCAGTTAACCCTTTGGTCCTTCTGTTACCAAAAATAAATATACCAAGTAAAAATGCATTGTATATTTTTCAGTCATTTCATTCGTGACTTAAAAATTGGGTAGTGGTTTATTGGCTTATTTTAAACAAAAAATTTAAACATTCAAGAAAAAAAATGTTCTGTAAAGATAATTCTATTGCCTTTATCAATTTGGTCATATGTTAAGTCATAATCAAAAACCTCTGAATTCAATAGCAGGAATTTCACCTGTTTTATGATATAACTTCTCTGAAAGTAAAAATTAAATACCTAGAACCAAATACTTGAAAATTAAAGAACATTTTTATAAGCAACCATTTAGACAGAGTGGATATTACTGCAATAGTAGTTATATTTAGAAAATACAAAAAATGGTACAGCCATGCTTGGGAGGGTTATAAAGGTTCTTATTATCAAAGTTGAAAATAAATTGAAGACAGTGGTTCTTGCTAAGTGTTATCTTTTCTTTTTATTTTCCTTTTTTTTTGTCTCCCAGGACTGGGGATTGAATCCAGGGGCTTTGCACTAAGCTACAACCTCAGCCTTTAAAAAAATTTTCTTATTTTAAAATGGGGTCACCCTACCATAAGTCACTAAGTTACCCAATCTGGGCTTTAACTTGGGATCTTCCTGCCTCAGCTTCCCAGAGTGTTAGGATTATAGGCATGTGCCGCTGTGCCTGGCTCTTTGTTTTTCTAATTAAAAGGAAATAAACCTATATTAACTTTATAATTTAAAAAAATCTTTAAATGACGCTGAAGGAAAAAGGATATGAAATGCTGTATATTTTTATTTTCTGCTTTGAAATGCATATAATCTTAACATTTTTCTAATAGTTGCTGAACTTTATTTTAGTCAACATGCTAATAATGTTCTTTTTATGAAAAGTTTTATAAGCTGGAGGACTTCTTTCTTTCCATATTCAGTACAAAATTAAAACTATACAAGATTTGGTGAGTTTGAAAGAACCGGATCGTCACAGTCTACTACACTTCCTTGAAGATGAAAAATATGAAGAGGTTATGGCTGTCCTTGGGAGTTTTCCATATGTAACCATGGATATAAAATCACAAGGTCAGTGGGAGGTTTTCCTGTTGAACATTGCTTCCCTTTAAATAGACTGGCTCTCATTTATTTGACTCAGGATTTTCAGAACAGTACTTAATAACATAACTTAAAATAGACTTTGTAAAACTATAGTTTTCTTGTCAGATTTAATACGATAGGAAATGATAAATACATACTTAATCTTTTTGATGAAACTAATATAACCCTGCTTTTATTTTTGTCACAATGGCATTAACTATGAGAACTTCTTTCTGTAGCTCAGTATTCAAAAATTTAACTCTTCAAAGAATGGAAGAGACTTCTAGATGTAGTGAAAGAATAAGAAACATTTGAAATATATTATTAAAAGAAATAGCTGCTTAGTACTGAGTTTTTAAAGCTCCCAACTTACTTGTTATTAAGCCTTAAATTACCATGTTTTCTGTCTTCTTGTGTTTTTCTCACATTACCACCATGTTTATGTCTATTTCAGATTCTAAAACTCCAGATTAAATTTCTATTTACATAACTGTCCTGTGCTCATTTTAGATTTTTTTTTGGTACTGGGGATCGAACTCGGGACTATGCGCTTGTGAGGCAGGCGGCGGAACCACTGAGCTAAATCCCCAGCCTCTTGTTCTCATTTTAATAGTATACAATAATATCTTAGGAAACTGACAGAATTACAGATGATCTGTTCCATTCATTCTGTTTGTGGTATTGTTCTGAGCTTTAGCATTCACAAATTCACTGTTGTGAGAACATTCTTCTAGGTACCCAGAATACAGGAATGTGCTGGTAGTGGATTCTGACTTTAAAGCTCTCATCATTTAGTTCAGGAAATAGGAGTAAAAATGAGAACATATGCCGAGTGTTAAGTGAGTGACACAGACATTGTACCATGTTTTCATGCAACAAATATTGAGTGCCATGTGTACTTCTGTGTGCTGAAGAAGCAGTGTCTGTCTTACTGAGTTTGTATCCTAATGGGAATTGAGAAGAAGTAAATGGCAACTTAGGACTGGCATTGGAGACAGGAACGCAAACAGTACAATCTGATATATCATTTTGCCTAGAATATAAGATAACTGTAGGAAAAACTTGGAGCATTTTGGCAGGGATTTGGGATTTTCTTTTGGGTCCATGAGTTTTCAGACTTTAAAAACAACAATATGAAAGTTACATTTAGAAATACACTGATTTAACCAGAAAATGTTCAGATGAAAATCTAGTTTGGGACTTAGAGATAATCTTTGACATGATTATAAAAAGCACATTCGGCTGGGGATTTAGCTCAGTGGTTTCGCCGCCTGCTGCACAAGCTCAAGGACCCAAGTTCGATCCCCAGTACCAAAAAAAGCACATGCTTCTTTGAAAAATGAATGTTAAAAGAGATTTATTTTCTTATTTTTACAAGGAAGAGTGTTTAGTTTCATTGGGAAATATGTGTTCCACTCCATAGTGTCTTGTATAGTTTATATTTTTATAGTGTTGTCTATAGCTGTATATATAATATGTCTGGTATAGTTTGAAGGAAATATAGAAGGCTCATGGAAACAGGGAACGGACATTGCTTAATTTTGTGGTGGAGACAATGGATCTCTCCCTATCCTTAATGCTGGAGGCTATATAGAATGTCATGCTAGGCCTTTTCATTTTAAACCATCAAATGGCATGTAGACCTATACAACAGTTACTTTACATGTACTGCTTATGCATGTATAACTTGGCAAAATGAAAAATGGAGATGGCCATGTGGGCCAGGTTTTATTTTTTGGTAATGGAGATTTTAATGGAGTGTGAAGGGATACTGTACCATTTGCATTGCAGCCACTAGTGGAGTTAGCAGATGCTTATTAGAGGCTGGAACACAGTGTGACAATAAAAAATCTGTGTAAAACAGGTATAGCAAACTTAGAAAAAGATTTAGACAAAAATACATAGTGAAGAACATTAGTGCTATTTGAATAGAACATGTCTGATAAACTTTACTAATCTTAATTTTTAGTAAACTTGGGAATGCAAATGTGGTTTAAAAATTAATAAAAATTTATTGTGCTTAATATTATTTCAAAAGTGATTTAAAAGTACTTTTTAAGTAAAGAGAATGTATTGAAGTTCTTTAAAAATACTCTTTAAGATGATTTTTACAATATTAGTTTTCCTTACTTTATTCTATCTGGCATTGATCATTCAGGTAAAAATCTTTTGAATATATGCTTTACATAGACTCCCAGAGCCTCATTTTTATGTTGCTATGAGACAGCTGAGTTAATGGTAGTCTCATATTACATTGTGTTTTCAAAGACTTGAGTTTCAAACCTGGCAGTGCCAGTAGAACTGTTCTGTGAGTGGGCATTTTACTTTATTTTTGATCCTTAGCTTTTTCTTTAAATGGAAATGATGTTAATACTTTGCAGAGTTAACTGGAGAGTTTAACACAGCATGTTGATTATTTTTAATAAATTTAAAACATGATATGCTTAAAGTAACAAATTGACTTGTATAACTTACATTTTGCTCTTTGCATAGAACTTTCTTTGTTGATTTTCCTTCTTATAGTACTGGATGATGAAGACAGCAATAACATCACAGTAGGATCCCTAGTTACGGTGTTGGTTAAATTGACAAGACAAACAATGGCAGTAAGTAGTCTTTGTATTTTATGCTTTGAGAGTAATGCATCAAGATTTTTATATTTAGTTTTCTTTAAGTAATTTCTCAAAGTCAAAACTGTTGTAGTAAGACCTCATTTTACAAGTTCTCTTACCTGATTTGAAATTGTAAATTACTTTTTTTTTTTGGTACCGGGGATCAAACTTGGGACCTTGCGCTTGTGAGGCAGGCACCAGAACCACTGAGCTAAATCCCTGGCCCTTAAATTAATTTTTTTAAGACATAGTTTTCATAAACACCAAAAAACCCTAAAAAGTAGATTAATTCTTCATGTGATAAATTGTTAATTCTCTCTAAAATATAATAAGTTAGGTGAATATAATTCTTAAACTGTAAAGTGCAGTTTGTGTACAGGTTAATTACTGGTTTTTGTTTTTTGAGACAGGGTCTCACTGTGTTGTTCAGGCTGGCTTTGAACTTACTATGCAGCCCAGGCTGACCTCGAACTTGTGGTGATCCTCCTGCTTCAGCCTCCCAAATGTTGGGGTTATAGGGATGCATCACCATGTTTGGCTAATTACTGGTTTTTGGGAATTTTATCACTTAGTCCTTTTTAGTTAATTCTTTAGATAATTTATTTTTTATTTAAAATTTTGGAAAGTTACATTAAAAATAACTCCTTCTGATAGTGTGAAAAGTTCATGCCATCTGGAAAAAACTGAAGCAATGCAGAAAAGTATAAGAAGAAATGAAAATCACCTAATACTCTACTGCTTTGAGATAAGCTTTAAAGCTCATTTTTAAAATACCCTAATGCACGTATAGTATATATGTAGAATTAAGTATTTAATTTTTAAAATCGCGGATCCCTTCTCTTACCCATCTCTCTAAGGAAAACTTCTTGTCAGCCCCCGATGACCAGAATTTGTCTGTGTGTATCCTTTTCTTTCTTTCCCTATGTTCAGATAAACCATTTGGACCCTTGCAGTATATATACTTATACATTGGTACTTCTCTCATTCTCTTTGTGAAGTCTAATTGTATTGTATATGTTTCCTGTATCTTGTTTTTCTGTTTCTAATACCTTCTAAGTCAACTTGTTAGTTGTAACGCACTGTTTTTAGTAGACTAGTTTATTCAACTAGTAGTAGATCTTATTTTGCTCTGAGGTCTCTGACCATCTGCAGGAAGTACATAGTGCATTTAAAAAATTGATGTCTAGGGCCAAGGATTTAGCTCAGTGGCACCGCGCCTGCCTGGCAAGTGCAAGGTCCTGAGTTCAATCCCTGGTACCAAAAAAAAAATCGATGTCTAGGGCCAGGGATTTAGCTCAGTGGCGTTGTGCCTGCCTCGCAGGCATAATAAGGTCCTGAGTTTGATCCCCAGTACCACAAAAATAAATAAATAAAAAATCAATGCCTGAAACTCCCATGTTTAAAATCACTAGTAGGAAAAGCATATTTTTAAAGTCAGATATATGAAATGAAAATGTTGATTTTATGATAGCAAGAGATATTTTTTGTAATGGACTCTGAATGAAAGATGCCACTAAGCCTATGCCAAAATTGAGTTTAAAACCTAAAATTGCTATAGTCAATACTCTGGAATGCCCAGCCTGAGAAATGAGCAAAGAATTGATCTTGGGCTATTGGCATTTTTGGGATAGTTGCTAAGAAGAAAAAGCAAAATTACTTGAATTAAGTAAAAGAATCAAGTACTTGTCCTTCCATTTTTGTATGACCTGTACCTTAAAGTAAGTATTAGATCCCAGCTAATAAAAGAAGAAACGAGGAAGTGATGACAGAATTAGACTAGGGAATGGCAACCTTTTTCTGGAAAGGTTTAGCTAGTAAATATTTTAGGCCTTACAGTTCATTAGTCTTTGTTATACTTACTGCACTCACAATTGGGCATTTTTGTGTTCCTGTAACCCCATGTTTAAAAGAGTTGATGGTGTACCATAGTCTGCTGACCTCTGAGTTAGGTCATTTTTGTTGTACTAAATTAAAGTTTTTTACTTTATAATCAATTTATATATTTCAAGTCATTGTATTTGTTATTTAAGTAGGTTGCACTTTTCAGAACGTATTCAAGACAGCTATGTTATACTTGAGAAAGCAGCCAGCTGTATATTCACACATCTGCTGAGTGCACATGCCTGAAATCTCAGCACTCTGGGAGGCTAAAGCAGTAGGATTGCAAGATTGAATGTCAATTTAGTGACACACAGTCTCAGAAAATTAAAAAGGCTGAGGATGTAGCTCATTGTGAAAGCCCTGGGTTCAATTCCTAGTACCGCCAAAAACAAACAAAATAACCAACGTAACTAGTACACATTTTGAAAGATTTCTTTGTTCCTTTGAAATATAAATATAGATTGACAGATTTTGTTTTTTTTCCTGTTACCCGTAGGAAGTATTTGAAAAGGAGCAATCCATCTGTGCCGCCGAGGAACAGCCTGCTGAAGATGGGGTAAAACTTGAGTTTTCTTAACCCATCTTTGGTGGTGAAACAAATGTTTTATTTACTTCTCTGATTGACTTACATTATTGTGGGGCAGTAATTCAGCTTATGAAACCATATAGTTAAGCCATCCTATCTAAAAATTACTGTGACTTCTACCCTATTACTGTGATTTGCTGAGTGTGATGTGTGTTATGATTTACAGCAAAGTGATACTAACAAGAACAAGACAAAAGGAGGATGGCAGCAGAAGAGTAAAGGACCCAAGAAAACTGGTAAATCAAAAAAAAAGAAGCCTTTAAAAAAAAAAACTACACCTGTGACATTACCACAGTCAAAGCAGCAGAAACAGAAGCAGGCAAATGGAGTAGTTGGGAGTGTGAGTTTATTTTTTATCATGGTTATTATCATTATTGAGGTATAATATACATATACTAAAATGTTCAAATCTTATGTGTACAGCTCTTGAAATTTTACATATATATGTACCCATTAAATCCAAATCAAGATTAAAAACCCTGTAGCATCCTGGAAAGCTAATGTTTAGTCAGTAACCCCTCTATTGTCCTTATCTCTATGTCCCCCATTATTTGGATTATATATGCGCCATAGATTAGTTTTGCTTATATTGTGTAAGTGGAATTATTTTATGTCTGATTGCTATCATTCCACATTTTGTCCATGACATTTGGAGGGGAAGGTTGTACTGGGGATTGAACCCAGGGCCTTTGCATTGAGCTACATTGCCAGCCTTTTTATTATTTTTAATTTTGAGACAAATTCTTGCTAAGTTGCCCTAGCCAGATTTGAACTTTCAATCCTCCTGCCTCAGTCTCCAAGAGTGCAGGGGTTACAGGCCTGTGCCACCATACAACATTCATCTTTTTGTATTGTTTGTAGCAGTAGTCCATTCTGTGTATGTGTATATGTGTGTAGTATTTCACTGAATGAATATATGGTACCATAAATTATGCTGTTCTGTGAATATTGGACATTTGTGTTGTTTGTAATTTTTACCTCATATGAATAAAGGTACTATGCTTGTATTCTTGTACATGGCATTCATTTTCCACCTAGCAATGGATTGCTGAGTCACAAGATAGGTATATTTAACTCATTGAAAGAACTTGTTTTCCAAAATTTTGCCATTTTACACTATACATGCATAGTATGTTTGGTTGTTCTACATGCTCACAGATAGCTGGTTTTCCCAGTCTTTTATTTTTGCCATTTGGTTGATCTGTAGTGGTAGCACTTTGTGTGGTTTTATTTGTATTTACCTGATGACTTAATGATGTTAAGTACCTGTTCATATACTTACTGTCCATTTGGTATCCTTTTCTCTATTATGTTGTTTTCGTATGGATTTGTTGGAGTTTTTTTGCATATTCTGGATATGAGTCTTTAATTTTTTCCTTTATTAATGGTAGCTTTTGATGACTTAATTTTATTGCAATCTGTTTTCATTAGTCTGTTGTTTGGTTAATGCTTTTCTATTCTGCTTAAGAGATCTTAGCCTACCCCAAGGACATAGAGGTATTTTTCTGTTTCCTTTAGAAGCATTATTTACTTGTTACATTTTAGTCGTATGATCTATCTTGAATTAATTTTTATGAATGGTGTGAGATGTGGAATATGCGCCAGTAATTCCAGCACTAAGGTAATCCCACTTCACTGAATTGCAGTGGCACTTCGTTGTACAACAGGTGACTGACCATTTGTTTCTGTGTTGGTCTGTGGACTCTGGTTGTTTATTCTAGTTGTTTATTCTTGTGCCAATGCCATACTCTTAATTGTAGCTTTAAGTCAAGTCTTGAAATATGGTAGTATGAAGTCTTCTAACTCTTATTAATTCAAAGCTGTCTTAGCTATTTTAGGTCTTTTGCATTTCTAGCTAAGTATTTAGAACAATTGACAATTTCTATCAAAAAAGCATGCTAAATATATATTGGTATTGCATTGACTCTGTGGTTCAGTATGGGGAAATTGACATGTTAATACTGAGTCTTATTCATCATATGAATGAATCAATGGTTTATTTTGATTGGTTTGGCGCTTCCTTAATCTTTCTCAGCAGTGTTTCATAATATTCAATGGCAAAAGTATGTTACATCTTTCACTATATTTACTGCTTATGTATTTGGTTCTTTTTTTTGGGTACCAGGGATCGAACTCAGGATGTTGGTGCTTGCAAAGCAGGTGCAGCACCACTAAGCTAAATCCCCAGCCCTGGTGCTTTTTTGTTATTGTAATTTTTTTTTAAAAAAGATTCTTCAGTGTTTTTGCTGGTATGTAGAAAAGCAGTTGTTTCCTCAATTTGACTTTGTATGGAGTCTTACTGAATTGACAGTAATTCATTATACTGCATATGATAATATTTTCCACCTATGCAGTTACACTGTGAATTAAGACACTTTTCTTTTTAAGACTTATACCCTTCCTTTCTGCCCTTTTGCCTTTCTCTACTGGCTAGAACTTTTGAGTGTAATATTGATTAGAAATGAAGACAGTGGACATCCATGTCATTTTTTAATCTTAGAAAGAAAGCAAATATTTCACCACTAAGTATGATTTTATAGCAAGTTTTCCATTTTATTTCCTATTTGCTGAGAATTTTTAAAAATCATGAGTAGATAGTGAATTTTATTAAATACCTTTTCTGAATCTATTATTGTTTGCTTTTTCCTCCCCTTTTGTTAATGGAGTGAATTATATTGATGAAGTAAAAAATTTTAAACTATCCTTATATTCCTGGGTCAAATCTCATTTGGTCATAACATATGACCCTCCCCCCCTTTTTAAAGTTTATTGAGTTTGATAATCTGCTGGATTCTTGCATCTGTTTTTATGAGAGAATATTAGTTTCTCATTCCTCTTTCATATAATTCTCAAGTTTTGTATCAGGTTTGTGTTAACCTTAGTAAGCAAGCTCTAGGAGGTGTTCTCTTTTCTGCAGGAGTTTAGCCTTAAGTTTCTTTCTTATTTGTAAAATTCTCTAGGTTAGCCATTTGGGCCTAGAATTTTTAAAAGAGCTTTACTTTTGGAGTTTGTTTCATTAATATATTCTGCTTTTTAAAATATATATATATGTATATTCTGCTTTTTTCTTAGCAATTTTAGCAAATTTTGTTCTTCAAGGAGTTTATCTATTTCCTCATTATTGGTTATTTGGCATAGTTATAATATCCTTTTATTTTTAATGTCTGTCAAATCCAGTTATATCTTTTAATTTCTAATGTGGTGATTTTATTTCCTTTTTCTTTCATTCTTGCGTACGAGTTTATCAGTCCCCCTGATCTTTTCAAAGAACAACTTTTGGTTTTGAGTTTCTCTTATATACCTGTTTTCTATTTTTGTGATTTATGGTCAGTTACTTCTTTCTTTGCATTTAATTTGCTGTACTTTTTCTTGCTTTGTGAAATGAACTAATAAGTATTTTGCCAGGAAGTTGACTTTCTTTACTGCATTATAACCGTCAATTACAGAAAATGATCTTAATCTCCCAAAGTAGTACTTTTCTATACATTACCCATTTCTTAAGTAAAATGTGTGTGCAATTCGTGTTTTTCAGAGCCGGTACTATTGTGATAAGGTACAAATAGAAATATATTTTTATTTTATAAACTATGAAGAATGAATAAAAGAACAGGCAAATAAGCCAAACGTTAAAACCTTCATTCTGACTCTTACATCTTTATACATACATAAGAATACTTATAATTTTCTAAAATTTTCTGAATAGTGAAATTTTAAGTGTGAGCCAGTTTAGGTATGTTGACAATATGTTAGCTTCAGAGGCTCAGAATGATAAATACACATTGTGATACTCAGAACTTTTATGATTGCTTTTATTAGGAAGCTGCAGTAAAGGAGGACGAAGAAGAAGTTTCTGACAAAGGCAGTGATTCTGAAGAAGAAGAAACCAATAAAGATTCCCAGAGTGAAAAAGATGATGGTAGTGACAGAGAGTCTGATAGAGAGCAAGATGAAAAACAGAACAAAGATGATGAAGCGGTAAGACTTAATAGGTTTAAATAATTGAAATGTACCTCTAATGATTTGGGAGTTTTTTGTTTGTTTTGAGATGAATTCTCACTGTGTTGCCTGGTCTTGAGCTAGACTCAAGTGATGCTGAGCAGTGGGACTACAGACGCATGTTACCATGCCTGGCTGTTTTGGGTTTTGTTGTTATTCATTTCTTTGATTGCTTGCTTTTTCTTTTCTTAAATAATACTAATATGTATATGTAAGCAAGCATATTTATTTAACAACTCTTTTTGTATTTTGTTACTTTGTAAGATTTGATTTTTTTTTTTAGACAGTCTTGCTATGTAATTCAGGTTGGCCCTGAACTTACTATATAGCTAGCCTCACGTCTTGAGTGCCGGAATTACAGGTGTGCACCACTATGCCTATTTTTTTTTTTTAAAGGAATGACAGGATTTGTAAAGAATTGTTTCAAATATGGATTGGAAATCCTGATTTTTTGGGGGAAGGGAGGTGGTAGTAGGGATTGAGCCCAGGACCTTCACACTAAACTACATCCTTATCACCCACCACCTTTTAAAACATTTTTAAAAATTTTGAGATAAATCACTGAGTTGCCTGGCTAGGCTTAACTTGTGACCCCCCTGCCTCAGCCTCCTAGAATGCTAGGATTACAGGCATACACCACCATGCCTAGCTTGGAAATCTTTATTTTCTTGGTAAATAAAGTAGGACCTTGATCTGAGTTGACAACAGTGTGGTCTCTTCAGAAAATTTTCTTGTTGGGAATGTCTCTGGAAATTTGATAGGGAAAGGAAAGGTAGGTTGTGAAACAGTAGTTACTTTCAAGGGAACTTTTTGTTTAGGTTCAGGGTAATGTTTAGTATTGAACCATTACTATGAATCTTGATACTAGTTAACATTATAGAATATCACCTTATGTTATGGAGTAAGTAAGGTACAGAGTATAGAAAAGTTGCATATAATTTTTGGATAGACTGCAGAGAAGTACATATTTGATCAACAAATAACAGTCCTTAGAGGCTCACTGCAAATGAAACATAAACTTGATCAGCTGTTTTTGTTTGTTAGTGCTGTTTTTTTTTTTTTTTTTGGTACCAGGGATTGAACTTGGGTCCTTGCATTTGTGAGGCAGGCGGCAGAACCACTGAGCTAAATCCCCAGCCCTAGTGCTGTTCTTTTTGACTGGACTGTTGATCTAAAAGTAAGCTTATGGTTTGTGAGAGAAAGAATAACCCCCTGAACAGCCTCTGAGGCAAAAGGAAAAGTCAGAAATAAGAAGAAGTAAAGGGCATAGGCCAAAAGTATAAGAATAATACATTCCTTAGGAATGGTAGAAAACAAGTATGGATGATTATTTATACTAGTTGCTATGTCTTGACTGTCTTTATACCTTGAGAATTAAAGTGATTGCCAGGAAATAAAAATCTGTGAAAGGCTGGGGATTTAGCTCAGAGGTTCCACTGCCTGCCTCGCAAGTGCAAGGACCTGAGTTCGATCCCCAGTACCAAAAAAAAAAGAAAAAATCTATGAAAGAAATTATTTCTTCAGCTTTACTTTGAGAAAGAGTTGACATAATTCTTTCTGAGTATTTTAATGTTCATAGAGGAGACTCTTAAGGTTTTAATAATCTAGTTTGTTCAGATGACCAAAAATAGTTTCATTCAGCCAGTTAATTATTAATTCATCATCTATCCCCTCCCAAGGGTTTTCTTAGCTGACAGTGACTGCAAGCCAGGTGTGAAGTAGTTTCTGCCCTTGTATGATAGGTAGGCTAGTGGGCTAGGCAGACTTGTAATGGCACATACAAGATCATAACACATCTATGTATTGAATAGTGGCAGTACAAAGGGAGGCATCAACTCAGTTCTGAGAGGCATAAGGAAATTGTGGTAGACCTTTGCTCTGGAGTTCATACTTTCGGCTTTAGCTAGTACTGAAAGAGAATGAGTAGGAATTTTCCAGATGCAGAAAGGGAAGAGCAAAAATCCAAATAGGGTTTAGGAGGAGTGAAATAATTAACTTCAGAGAAGTGTCAGGTAGCTTGAAACAATGAGACTAAGAAGCCAAGGAAGAGAGAAGTGTCAGGAGACTGGAGCAGTGGGCCAGGGTCAGATCGTGGACAGCTGTTATACATGCTCTGTGGGATAGAGGTATTGTAAGTTTGAGCTGGGAGATGATCAGATTTGTGGGAATGAACTTGTTCTAACCCTAAGTAGTTAATTGCATTGTCAAGAAAATAGCTCCTCAAAATGATCCAAAAAATACCAGAATTCAAATGTTTTTATTTTTTCTTTACTAGGAATGGCAAGAATTACAACAAAGTATACAGCGAAAGGAGCGAGCTCTCTTGGAAACCAAATCAAAGATCACACATCCTGTATATAGTCTTTATTTTCCTGAGGTGAGTGACACTCAGCCGAGAGTTCTCTGTATACCATTCACTTTCTTCTCAGATGTTTCTCTTTGGACCCTTATTGTTCTGTGGTGTGCACTAGCATTAAATGTGGTCTAGGTCACTTTTTTTTTTTGGTACTGGGGATCGAACTCGGGACCTTGTGCTTGGGAGGCAGGCGGCAGAACCACTGAGCTAAATCCCCAGCCCATAGGTCACGTTTTTAAAGGATATAATATGAATTACTTTTAGTGAATATGTTGTTTAAGGGGGCGAATTGTTAATTTTTAAAGTATTTCTGTGGTTTCTTGTGCTTCTTTTTGTGCTCACATTATTGAATGTTGTGTTATTTTTCATTAACAAGGCAGGGAGTCTTTATCTGATAAATGTATATTTCATCTTTGCTTGATTGGAGGGAATGTCACCCTCCTAATTTAAATAGGATAAAAGCAATCTTAAATTTTCCTTCTGAGACTCTAGACTTGCTCTGAGCCCAGTAAAATTGCCCTGGCCTGTGGGAATGGCTGTGGAACCACCTGTGTTTTGGGCCCTGAACAAACTTTAGTAAGAGCTGAGCATAACTTAGTCTCAAGTTCAGGAGAGAGCATTATAACACTATTCACTCCCTTGTCTTTTATTGTTATTATGCCTGCTCCTTGCTAGTCTTTGTTATTTGTCTTTCAAATTAGCTTGGGATTCCTTTGATAATTTTGTTTCTGAGGATCATTCTACCTATGGAACAGAAGTCCAGAACTGGTTGGCCCCAGTTTAGGGAAACTGTTCCACAGACTGTCTCATAGTTTTACCACGGAATATTCTGCTCACTGCTCATGTTAGACTGGTGATTTCATATATAAATCTTTCTGCCTGAGACTGTCAGACCAGAGATGCTAGGGGCTGCTTAAGGCAAACTCCTCAATAATTTGGCTCTCCTAGTGAGTGACTCTGCTCAGAGTTGTTTTGAATTGGAGAAAAGTCTGCCCAGGATTCTGTCTTAATGCACACTCTGATCTTCTAGTGAGTCCTGAGCTTTGACCCATCTGTTAGGGGCATTTTGCCCATTGCAGATGTAGTCTGCCAACATCAAGCATTCGGAAATCAAGCAAATAAAACCACTCATGGATTGGTATGGAAAGTGCTGTCTCTGAGGTGCTGTGGGCTGTATAACTTACCTGTATACAGACAGTTTTATTTTAGGCCTTGCTTATTTGATAAGAGAAATACTATTTGCTCCCTTAGAATATTTTATCGGCAAAAGTGTCTTTTTTTCCTACTATAATCTTCATCTATATGGTAAATGTCTTAAAGTCTCATGTTTTATAAAATTTATTTCAGATCTTCTTGAGATCTACCTTGCTGCTTTCCCCTGTACCTAACTACCCACTTAGTATTAATTGGATTACATATTATTGAAATTCATTTATTATGTGTAACACATTAAAAATGGTTGGGAATCTCACACGATAGAAAAACAAGTTTTTTAAAAGTGCTGAATAACTCATACAACATCTGTTCCAATTTTTTAAGTTGGGCATCAAAGAATGTAGGCATGGATGCAGTATCATTGGCATAACTGTCATTTAATGCATTTAATGTGCTAACATTCTAATATGTACTTGAATTATCTCAGTTCGTCTTTACAGTATGGCCAGATGTAGGCATATGTAATTTAATGGAGAAGGAAAGCTGTATTTATCATTCATTCAATTATTTATATTCTTTTTGGGGTGGGAGTCTCACTGTGTTGCCCAGACTGACCTTGAACTTGTGATCCCTCCACCTCAGCCTTCTGAGTAGCTGGAAGTACAAGCATGTTCCCCGTGCCCAGCCAGAAAACTAGATAAGAGAGGTGAAATAATCCAGATTTGCGTGGCTTTAGAGCTAGTATTGGCAGTATACAACCTCCAAGCACAATATAGCTCCCTGCCTGTTTTACAAAATGAGACTTTCTTATAAATAAAATTTTATTAGAACACAGCCCCATTTATTCTTTTTGTGCTGAAACATCAAGCTCATATAGCTGTAACTACTCGAGAGACTCTTTGACCTACAAAGTCCAGTTATTAACATTCCCTTTCAAGATCATTGTGTTGTCACTTTGTATGTGCAAAACACATAGACAAATATATTTACAAATATTCCTACTATGGTCATCCTAACCCTCAGGTTAAGCAAAATTTAATTTTCTTGTTAGTAGCTGTTCACATCATCATTCTATGATTTATTGCTAGACTTATTAACCTTGCAATGCTTTTTATATCTTCAGGTATTTAAACAGAAGGGCTTTTAGTTGAATTTAGTGTAGCATTTTGAAAAAGATAATAAACCATTTCTTATGGTTAAAATAAAATAGTGCAACAGGTTTGGTATAAAGACACAAACATTTTCCCAAAGATAAAGTTTCAATAGGTTAAATTAATATTAAATTACTATTTGGAATATTCTAGTTACTTTTAACTTCAAAACATCTGCTTTTGAAACATCTTTCTTTAAACCACCTTAGAAAGATATCTTCTCTACCCCATTCTTAAAACAAGTGATAGTACGCAGATGTCTAAATGGTTACTGACATGAGCTATGATCGCTCCTGAGCACATTGAGGTTTGGTGCTTCCAGATTCCTGAAAGGGTTGGTCTTCTACATTTTTTTTTTAGAAAATACTTTCCTGCCACTTCTTTTGTTGTTTCACCCTGCTGTCATTGTGCATTCCAGTGGCAGTTACTTTACCCCACTCTTTTTCTGTTTCTGATATTTTTGAAGTTCAACTAGAAATGCCAACCTTATTAAAATGTGCAGTGAAAGGTATACATAGACCCTTAGAATGTAAGATACTTGGAGGAAGATAAAATGTTTTAATGTATTGATTTTTTTTTGACTGCCCAAGTCCCTTCCACTCCTATTTTGTGGCTTTTGCTTATTACTAGGTAAAAATACCAAGATTATGTGCTGTATCAGCAGTTCCCAACATTTTTAGCACTAGGGACTGGTTTCATGGAAGATAGTTTTTTCCTAGATGGGTGAGGTGGAGTGAGGGTGGGTGGTTTCAGGATGATTCAAGCATATTACATTTATTATGTACTTCATTATTATACAACTTACCATGATGCAGAATCAGTGAGAGCCCTGAGTTTGTTTTCCTACAACTAGACAGTGCAATTTAGAGGTGATGGGAGACAGTGTTACCCAAAGTGTGTTGCTTATGTCCAGTCTGCTCCATAATCTCGTTTAGTTGCTGTCACTGCAGAAAACCATGCTTCACAAAGATAGGATGTTGAAAATAGAAGCAGGCTTTTCAATGCTTTTTTGGCAATATAAAGATATTCTGTCTTGTCTTTAGTCCAGCACATGTGGAGATTTGAAGTTGTCTTTGACATACTTTCAAGGCAATACTGACATACTTTTAATTGCAATCTCAAGCAGTTGATCCTCTTCTAGCATGGGCAAAGTCTCTTTACCAGGCCTATTCACAAATGGGTCATGGATCATTTCTTTCCCAGTTAGGGGATCTTTTGTGGTTGGGAAGTAATGCTCACACTTTCCCTAAAGCTGAGATAGATAATCTTGTTCCAACTGGGAAAAAGATGGGCTGGCTCAGTCTCTTTCAAATCCGTACTAATGTTTGAAACATGTCAGAAATTCCATTGTTTGCTTGTCTTCCCTATATCAGTTTGGCTTTGAATGCAGCCTCTTTATTTGCTGACTTGAACATAGTTGTCATTCTCCCTTGAAGTGACAGATTGAGTTTGTTTAGCAGATTGGATGTCACACGAATAAACAAGTTTTGCAGCCCATTCTGTGTCACTGAAAAGTGCTTCCAGTGGCTGTTTTCCTAAAAGAGATCTCTGGAGTGACTCTTATAACTCAAAAACTGGCCAGTGAACTACCTTTAGAAAGTCATCTCACTTCCGTGTATAAGAGAGGATAGGTATGCTATGTTCACCTCATAATGAGTTAAGAGCATGTACTTTAGTGTAGTTGATAAATTTAATCACATTCTGCAAAAGAGTGTTAAGTTCAGGTGACATTTTTTGGTTAGCCAGCGTTAGGGTTAGGTTGAGGGTTAGGCTTTCTAAAGGTAGATCACTGGCCAGAGCTTTTGAGTTACAAGAACCTCTCCAGAGAATGGCTGTAAATACAGATGAGGCTTAGCTTTCTTGTCTACCACTAACCTCCTGTTGTTTCATGCCCTGGGTTTGGGGATCCCTGTGCTCTGTGATACTGTAATAAATTGTGTTTTCTTTTTTAGACTATCTTTTGTCATTGGGTTTTAATATACAGATCTATGAATAGGCTTTAAAGAATCATTGAAATCCCCAAAATTTCATGCAAAATTATTTTGGGGAGTGAGGACTAGATATACAAATGGTTAAGAACAGATTATTCAGTATTTATTTATTGAACCAGGTATTGTGTCAGTGCTGATGGTGTACCAATGTGCTAAACAAAGATGGTTTCTGTAAAATAAGACAAGCGAAAACTTATTCTAGTTCTGACTATTTGTACTCTTTTTTTTTTTTTTTTGCTTTCTAGGAAAAACAAGAGTGGTGGTGGCTTTATATTGCAGATAGGAAGGAACAGACATTAATATCTATGCCATATCATGTGTGTACACTAAAAGAAACGGAAGAGGTAATCAGCGTATCTGTTCTTAACAGTATACAGCATCATGTTGCTTCAAAATCTTTTTTTAAATATCACTTTATCAAATTTGGTATATTGCATTCTATTTGTTAAAACATATTTTTAAACTGTTCTCTGATGTTGGGGGGATGTGCTCATTCGAAATTTTTAAAGAATTGTTAAAGGAAGGCAGCTTGATCAGTCTTAAAAACTTCCCAATGTATTTTTGGCAATTTTCATTTCTAACATGTAATGTGTACCTTTTTTCCTCCTCTTCAGAATTTAATGATATTTTATAAAACTTTGTGATATTCATCTTTATTAGATTAATGTTAAGTGTTACCTGTTTTTTTTTAAATCTAAGAAAGCGGGGCTGGGGATTTAGCTCAGCGATTTCTCTGCCTGCTGTGCAAGTGCAAGGACCAGAGTTCGATCCCTGGTACCAAAAAAAAAAAATCTAAGAATGTACCATTTTGACAACCATATATTTTTTTTTAACCTATGGGAATTGCATTGTGTTTTCTTTTTTTTTCTTCTTGATTTCTTTTATGTGTTACCTTTTCTGGAAAAAAGATTTTGTCGTGCTGTACTTGGATAAGAGCAAGGCTTTTGAATTTGAAGATAGTTCTAGATGTTGATTTTTAGTACAAAAACTTTTTTTATAATGAAGTGGTAAATATGTGCAGTAGTTTGGTATTACTTAACACTTAGAGGTAGACCCAACTTGAGTATTTGAAGCAATTTAATTTTTTTAATTTAAAGTTTACTTGTTTTTGAATAGATAATGCATTTACCTAAAAATTGCAGAGGATATAAAAGTACGTAAAGTGAAACATCTTATATCTGTATTTCCTAGTCACCCTTTCCTCTCCATGGAGTTCATCAGTGTTACCAAATTTTTCCATATTAGTCATGTGATATTGTATGTAAATTCTAAGTAAATACATACATTGATATTTTTCCCTAAATTTTACACAAAAGGTAGTATATGCTTTGTTTTGTACTTTTTCTTTTAATAGTAGACAAGTATTTCCTTTCCTTCATAACCACAGTTATTTCACCCAAGGAATTTCACATCAACAAGGTACTATATCCAGATAGACATTCTGTATTTGAACTTCCTCAGATACTCTACTGATACTCATTATAATTTTTTGTTCTTTCAGTTCAGGATCCAGTCAAGGATCACATTTTGCATTTTGTTAATCCTCTGCTTTTAGTCTTTCACATCTTTGACATTTTTCAAGAATGCATGCAAGATATTTTGTAGAATGTCACTTAATATGAGTTTGTCTCATTAGTTACTCATTATGTTCATCTTAAATATTTTTCCAAGCATACTACATTGGTGATGTACATAGCCTATAACACCAGGGCACATTATATCAGTCTACTCCACATCAGTGATATTAAAGTGGCTCAATGGAGACTTTTCTCTGTTGTAAAAGTACCTCCTTCCTCATCTGTGGGGTGCTGTTTCTTCCACAGTCTTTTACCCAGTCATTTTGGCATACATTCATTGATAATTCTTGGCTAAATCAATTTTTACTCATTGTATTCATTGTTGTTTTAATTATCTATTTAAGAGTGAATCCAGACACCTTCAGTGTGTTCAAGTCATATTTCTTTTTGTATCTATTTGTGACCATTCATTTTTATTGAGTCATTTAAATTAGTTTGGGTTTTTTTTTTTAATGTGAAGAAATCAGCCATTTGTAGTACAAGTTGCAAGTATCTTTTCCCAGTTTGTTTTCCTAGTATGATTGTTTTTAACAAGCAGCAGTAGGGTAGATATGGCTCAGTGGTAGAATTCGCAGTACCGCAGATGGGGGGGGGGAGAAATATAAATATTTATCTTTTTTTTCCATTTTCTCTTTTTATGATGTGATATATAAGTTTTCTTTTATGGCGTCCAGCTTTGTTAGGAAGGCCAACAATTTAAGATTCTCTTATGATTTTTTTATTATTTAAATGGCCTCATTATATAGTCTTGGCTGCAAAATTTTAAAGAGTAAAGGCAGAGCACTTGTTCATCCAAATGTCATTTTAAAAATGTATTCTTCACCCAAGTGGAAGTAAAATTTCTAAGTTTGTTCTTGTTTATACTTGAAGTTTGTGATTTGCTAGGGAAGTAAAATACCTTCTTGACCTTTGAAAGCACTGGATATTTATCCTAAAAATAAAGTTTGACAAGAATCTATTTAGTGAAGTATATTGTTGTATTAATTCTAGTTTATTATTTATACTTTATACTGTATTTAATTTCTTCAAGTTATCTGGGTGATGATCAACATAGAACTTGGGTGGTTACTTTATTCTTTGTTGAATTGTGGAAATACAGATTAACCCCATAAATTCTTCCTAATTTGGTTTACTTTTTACGTAGTGTCACATACATTTGTTGTTGTTGTTGTTTGGACTTCTGTAACATTTCTTAGGACTTGGAGTATCATCTAAGTCAACATTTGACTATTAAAGTACTTTGGTCAAGAAATTTTAAGTGTATGCCATTATTTCTCTCACAAAATACAGATTTTTAAATGCCGATTTTTATCTTCTAGGTAGAACTAAAATTTCCTGCACCTGGCAAGCCTGGAAATTATCAGTATACAGTGTTTTTGAGATCAGACTCATATATGGGTTTGGATCAGATTAAACCACTAAAGGTAAGAATAAGGACTTTTCGGGGCCAGGGATTTAGCTCAGTGGTTTTGCCATCTGGTGTGCAAGTGCAAGGACCTGAGTTCGATCCCTGGTACCAAAAAAAAAAAAAAGAATATGGACTTTTCAGTGGATATAATAATCTATTTGAGCAGTTAAGTAAGTGTAAGAGAAACATTTCTGGTTTTGAAATACAGAAAAATGAAAGGAAAAACCAATTATCTCATTTTTTTTTGCCATGAGTTAGAGGGCAACCTGGGCTCCACAAGTGAGTTCAAAGTCAATGAAAGCCTGTCTTAAAAAATCAAAAAAAAAAAAGAAAAGGTACATAGATTTTTACCATAGATTCTATTGGAACAGTTTATTTAAATAATAATAAATATTCTATTGAAGTGTTTACTTATTAATTTCTGAAACTAATTTTTTAATCATCTTAAAACATACACTTTCCATTATCATTTGAAGCATACTCCTATCAATGTGTACCATTTCACTTGAGCTTTTTATAAAAGACATTGTATTATATTAGTGAGCTTGTGCTAAAGTATTGTTGCACTATAGAGAATAAGGGGAGCCAGTGAAAACGAACCTCTTTTTTTTCCCATTAGAGCTCTATATTTCTTTTGTTGGCTATAGAATTTTTTTTTTTTTTTGGTACTGGGGATCGAACTCGGATCCTTTTGCTTGCACAGCAGGCGGCAAAACCACAGAGCTAAATCCCCGGCCCTAATGTTGGCTGTAGAATTTTACTTCACAAGTCAGGAGGCTGTGTCTCTTTGAAAGTCATACTTGAGCATTTCTTCCTTCAGCAGAAGACTTCTGTTAAGATTCATGCTTAAGAATCACAATTAGTCTTTTGTGCTGCAGAAATACATTCACAAATAGTATAAGGTCTATGAAGTTAAGGTATCAAATTATATTAGAAATTTAACTACATTTGTATATTAGTAGATTCATTTATAGGATGAAGTGTCTATTCTAAATGACTGTGTTCCATTTAGAGTTGCATTTTTAGAGAAAATTGATTTCTTTATGATTGCTGTGATCAAAGAAAAGCTTTTTTAACTAGACATTATTCTGTTATTCCTCCCTAAATATCTAGTGTCTATATTTAATTTTCTTTATAGTTGGAAGTTCATGAGGCTAAGCCTGTGCCAGAAAATCACCCGCAGTGGGATACAGCAATAGAGGGGGATGAAGATCAGGAAGACAGTGAGGGCTTTGAAGACAGCTTTGAGGAAGAAGAAGAGGAAGAAGAAGATGATGATTAAGCAGTACTGTGAGGAGAACACGGTGTTTGCACATATTGGCAAACTTTTGTTGTTTTAGAAGTGTATAATAAACCAAAAACAGTACAGAACTGATGTTGAAGGAAGTGTTAGTTTCTTTACTAGAAATGGGTGCATAAAACAGGCAGTTGGTGGTGCCTTGGTACAGTCTGAAAAATACTTAAGGCTTATTAAAGCCTTTCACATATGGGATGGTACATTTATTTCATCTGCAAATGATAATAAATTCTTTGTTACTATAACTGTCCAGAAGTGTGGGCTGTGTATTATCTGATGAGGTTATGGTCCCAGTAAAAGTTAAGGTACATGAAAAAGTAATCTATAATTGAGCAACTTTTCTTTGTTCAGCTTTAGTTTTAGTAAACATTAACGTATGGTGAAAGTCACAATTGTGTTTTAAATACCATCTGCTCGTTTTTAATCTCTTGATAAGCTCTGTTACTTACTTATTGATAATTTTTTGGTGATGAGACAGCTCCATACATGAAATGAAGCCTTTTATTTTCACCTATGTTGGTTATTAGTTGACATTTTGTCACATTCCACATAATATAGAGGGGTACATTTTGGAATTTTCCTTTCTTAATTGCCCAGTTGTCAGATTATAAAAATGGCTTTTAATGGCTTAAAACAGTTTTACGCCTCTCTCTTAGCAGATCAGTATGGGATCTTATTCTTTTTGATAAGCTGTAGGTCTAAAATGATTGTGGGACCATACGTTCTCGGATGTTGATGGTTTATGTTATTAAACCTTTTTTTAAAAGGTTCACTATAAAAGCTGAACTACACTCTTAGCTTTTAATCTACCTATCAGAAGCCTTTTAAGGAAAATAAATACAACACGCAAAGGAGGCATTTTTTGTATTCATTTTGAACTCCTGTCAATAAAATAGAAGTTTGACTCATTTTATCTTTGTAATTGTGTGTTTTTACTCCCAGGGAAAGGACATAAATAGGATTATCCTTTCTTTTATTTTCCCACTAATAAGTACTGTGGTACCTTGCTTCACGAATGTTTTTGTTTGGAAACTCCACATTGAATGACAGACACGACTATGGCTGTCTTTCCCATACAAACACATGGCCATCTTTTCCAAAATCATAGAACAAACTTAAGTTCATGAACCGAGGCACCACTGTAACACTATACATCAGTGCTGAAGTGACTGCTATCTCTGTGTACTGTAGGAAAACCCATGAGTGAGAGATTTCTCCCCTCATAGAACAACCAGAAGGGTAATGCTTAATGTAAAGAGTAGAAATGGTGTACATGATGAGGCATGAGGAATATTCTTATTACTAGATGTGGAGTAAACATGTTATAAGATTGACTTCTTACAATCTTATTAAAATCTCCACAGGGCAAAGTACTGTTGGAATACTAACTTGTTACTGTTTATTTAAAAGGTTGCTGTTCTCCCTGCAGAATTACCATTGGTATTTTGTTATTACAGTTATTGGAAATAAAATTTGGAAATTACCAAAAATTTGAATTTTGAGGGGGTTCTAAATTTAGGATATAATACTTCCCATCAAATGGTCAAAGATGTTTTTACATTGGAACTTTGGTCACCAGTTTGGTAAGAATGCCTCTTGGCAGGCAGGAGGCTGTGCCATTGACGGTGTTTTTCATTTTATAAAGGGGTGGGTTTGCTTTCAAATCAGATCATACTCTGAAGCTTCCAGTATCAATCGTGGCACCCTAGCCATGTCAGTGTGACAAGGCACAAGCTGCCTTGTGCCAAGTAAAGGAGAGACAGGTTAGAGAAGACACATGGCATGAGGTCAAGGAAACTGAGCAAACAAGGACAATGCAATATTTGCATTTCCTAGTTTTCTTGAAACATAATTTTCAAGAAAAATATTTCTTTTCTAGTGGCTATTTTGCTTTAAGGACTCTGTACAAAGTTCATTAAAGCAACTGGCTTCTTCTTGTTTTTAAGATTGTCTAAAAAGGAAAATTTCACAACCTAATAACTCACCACAGTTCTTACAAAACAGCATCACCTTGACATTAGAAAGTTGTACCAGTCTGTTTTCCCTCACCCATTGTGTGATGTGTATGAACATCCCCTGGCCAAAAAAAAAAAAAAAACTTCCTCTAGTGAATACCTTATGTGACCACCTTTGCAGAAGTGAAAGAACTTATATGGTTCTCATTTCTCAACTAAGTCAACAAATTCCACATCCCTTCTTATTTTCTCTGGAATGAGATTAATAATTTACCTTGGTTTGCATTTAATCTAATGGGAACAGTGAAGTTTCATTTTTCTATCAAAAAAATCGATGACATTTTGTCCACTGAATAGATGAGTAGATAATACAGTGTGTATACAAAGTGAAATGGGTTATTTATGAAGCTTTTAAATTGTGTAATACTTATCTCTTTAAATTGGCTAATTACCTATTAAAACAAAACACAGCCTTCCATGAGACTTTTGTTACTGGAATCGAAATCATAACAGGTGTTGAGTGTTGCATTTCCCATGTGGAGATCTCCATCTCATGTCTCTTTAATTTTTTTTTTTTAATTTGTAAGATTTTGTCATTGAGTGTACTGAGTGAGGGTTTCTATGCAAAATAATACCTTGTACTCTGCTCTGTCTCTCCCATCATGTGCTGTGCAGCTGGCTTGGTCCACTGGGAGGCAGGAAGGTGGAGTGTAGGTGCAGTAGCTGACCGGGAGAGGGGAGAGGGCATTGATGCAGAGGCTGAGCACGGTATTCTTGACCACAGCCTTTGTTCATGTAATTGATTCAGCCATTTCAACCCTTATACTGGAGGGGTTTTTTTTTTGGTAACAATTCATATTTCAAATGAAATCCAATATCTTTATTTTTTTAAGCAGTTGTTCACTATCATATTTACTAAATTTCTATGTGCCCAGCTCTGAGACTAGCAGGGCTATAAAGATAAAATTCTTATTAAAAACTCTAGTAGTCAAGCAGATGTGTGGCAATCCATTTCTGTCCATTTACCTGGGCTGGCGGCTGGTGTTTGACACCTTCCCAACCCATCTCTCCACGGAATTTGTTTTAGGGACTTGCTGTTTAATTTATTGCCACCCCCTTCACATAGAAAATCTTATTCTTTGTTATGCTTCTTTAAAGCATTTTTCCTCCTATTCTGAGTCAACTCCATGAAATCCTGTTTAGTTTGCCTTAAAGTGAAGCAAATACTGGTGACCCCTAATGTGACGCTTAGCAGCTGTGTAGTGATTAGTCCAAATGTCTCAAGAAGTTAGCACCAAGCATCCTTACACATTTAAACCTAGTGCTAGGGCTATATTGCAAAACTTACAGATTTGATCTTGTACATTTTCCTGTTCCTGAGCTAAAAACCTAAATAACAGCAGTCATCGGCACACTTTAGGGCTGTGGTTTCAGGAAGGGGGTGTGTACATGGGAGTATGCAGATGATGAATCCATTGAGAAAATGTTAAAATGATTATTTGTATTTAATCTCATCCTTTAAATTTCTATTTTTATGTGTTTTATATTGTACATAATATATTGTACAATTGTACAGTTCTATAATTTATAAATAAATAATACATTTATTGGTGCATTTTTTTCTCTGAATTGGGTGCATGATCAAAAATATTTGGACACCAGGGTAAAGCTAAAGTTTGGACCTTTGAATACAAATGTACTTGGTGGAGGCAAAGTTGACTTTCATTGTGTCTAGCGGTACTGATGGTGCCAAGAATAGCATGGTATGGCTGAGATGAAGCTGAGTAGGTTTGCTGGTGTGAGTAATGGAATGGAAGTGCTAGGGACTGCTTGTTAGGTCTGTGAACAAAGGTTCCAATTCTGTCATTGGACTATGCAATGCGTAGCTAGCTCTCCTAGTTCGAGGTGAGTGTGAGGACCCTGCTCACCAGCACCCATTTGTTCAGCATTAGTCTGTTAGCTTAGTGCACAGAGGAGCTGTGTTCCTCTTACCTTCTGGACACCTGATGTCACCACGTTAAAACCTGAGATTAAAAAAAAACAAAAACCTGGGATAATGGCAACGATGAACCCTATTGAGCAAGCAGATTGAGCAACCACTTATCTCCCTGTGTTTTCTAGCTTGGTTCCAATAGAGGGCACTAGAACTTTTTCTTTTTTAAACAAAGAATGGTTTAGTCTGTGGGACTCTTATCTACACCTTCTAGAATTACTTCCCCCAGAATTGTCTTTCTTACATGAGTCCTTTAATACACTAAGTATATTTCTAGGTTTTCTATCTGGGAACATTAAATCCCTTTGCAACAAAATCTAGGAGACAATCTGTATTATTCATTGTGCTAGAACTGTATTAGAGTGTTTCAGAGAAATGAGCAGCCAGGACACAAATTCTTTCACAACCATGATCTGTGTGAACTATGAAGGGCCTGAGGTTTTTTTTACTCTACATGCAAGCTAACAAGTTAACTTGCCAGTATCATGCATGCTGACTCTCAGGTCAGCACAGCAGGCACCATGAGCCTTGTGTACCCAGAGCTCTGTCATCCAAATTTAATGCAGGTGACGTGGGCTTGCGCTGGTGGATGCTGCCCATACAGTGGATTCATATCAGCTGAGAAGCTGAACTTGGGAAGCTTCACCTTTTAAAGGGTCTGCAAGCAGAACTTCAATCTTTATCAGCCTGACAGCAGAGAACTTGACCGTCTTCCCCGGAGGGGGACAACCTGCCTTCCAAGGCTGTTTGCTACGTAAACATGTTCGCTAAGATAGTCTAGAGCGTGTTTGTGTCTGCTCACAGTGTACAGACTAGTGAGAAAACCAGGGAAGATGGTCTCTTCGCCTTGGGAGTTCACTAGATATCAAGTGCCTCTGTTTACAAAGAGGCATAGAGCACTTATTTCCAAAAGGAATGCGTTCTGCTTAATGACAATTAGGACCAATGAGGCCATCTTCCTTGAGAATAATGCACATACAAGCTTACAAATGTTTTGATGTCAGAGATACTTTAATGTTACAACTGAAGGTAGTTCACTGACCTGTGCATCAACTAAAAGATAGCCAGAACCTTCCGAGTTGACTCCAGTAAGTTGTAATGGTACCTGTTGTACATTGTAATCATAAAGATTTTGATTATTGCCCTCTGCACCCTTCTCTGCCACCCTCTATGCAACAAACAAAACCCACATCCACCCCTTCCAGACAGCCTCAGTGTTTGCTTCCAAGTGGTTCCTTGTAGGTAGTTGTTACACTTTTAGTGATGTCCTTTTCCAAATAGGCTGCCCAAGCCCAGGGAGCCATTAGACTTCCTTTGGTTGAAATAATTATGGGACCTCTGAGACATTCTCCAGCCCAGTTACCCTAAAGGAAGATTTGTTTTTGTTTTTAACTGTGGAAAGTTATTTAGAGATACTGCAGATGAGTAGAGAGCAGGAGCCAAAGTTGCCAATAGGCATTTTGACCAAAAATAAGGCATGTGACTAAAATTTAGTAAGAGAATTTAAATATTCTGATGTTGAACCAGCTCTGAAGATTCCCAGGGAGACATCCAGTAATAGTACTGGAGTAACCATAGCCTCCCTCATTTGTATGTATCAGTCTGTGTCTGTCTGTTAAATGAGTCTACAGTCACATCCAAAGTTGCTCCAGCTTTTTAATTTCTTGATTCTCTGCCACATTCTTGAGTCTCTAGGCACTGATTATGATGTCACCTTCCCAATTCCTCCAAACACTTACTGTTCCAGAGAGAGAGAGAGAGGTGGTGTCCCGTGCTGAAAGGATCCAAGGCAGCTCTTTCAAGTCACTCAGCATGGCTGCTCCCAATAGCCAGCTCCTGCTTCACAACTTGCAGTCTCTTTTTCCCAGGATCCCCAGGAGAGCTCCCCGCTCCTACCCACCCCTACTCACAAAACACCGATCTGGGTCTATTATCATGGAAATTACAAGGATTAATGTGATTATCAGCAAAGTGCTTTTGGGAAGGGTGATAAAACAGTAGTGTTATGATCCACAGCGTCATTTCCTTATACACTGAAAACCCCCACATCTTTCAAGTCTGCTGACTTAATGACAGGGTATCTCACTAAATGTCAGGAGTGACACTTCAGGAACTGCACATTTCAGTCAGAGTTGAAGTTTGGCAATATTGAATTTTGAGTAGAATTTTGACTGTTTCAGTATGTTACAGGGAATAATTTTTAGAATGAGAAAAAAACTTTTTAAGAAAAGCCTTTCTCCAACCTCACGCAGTATGATTTCTACAGTTTTCTTTGCATTTGGTACAAAGGTGCTTAAACCTGACTGAACCAATCTCTCCACTCCCCACCCCCCAAGTCTAATATAAGCAGAGCTGGAGTGCAGGGGTAGAGACAAAACCGCAGGGAGTATCGGTTGGGAGCTGCCTCTGGGTGGCATGTGTGTAGGTGGGTGCTGAGTACTTGGGAGGCGCTCATTCTGCAGCCCAGGTGTGGAGCCAGCTGCACTATGCTGATGTGTGGGAGGGATATGGATATGAGGAGCTCAAGAGAGGGGACTTGTCACAGCTGGCAAACTGGAGCTGGGTCCCAGACATCTTCCCCCACAGGGTGCTGTGTCCCATTCCACGGCTCTCATTCTCCATCTTCCCAACCCACACTTGCATGCACACATACTCATAGCCCTCCAATAGAAGCTAGCAGGATCAGGCCTAGAATGGCTACCTACTGTATTTAGCCTACCCCAGTCATGGATGCTCTGGTCAGTGGCCAAGGGTTACACCTCAGTCAGATTCTCCCTCCATTCTGAGCTCCTGTGCTGGGTGCAGTGGGATCCCCAGATAGGTGAGGTTCCAGGTTGGGTGAATCCAAAAGTGTGAAGACATCTTTAAGATTCTTCTCATTTTAGAGATTCACATATGTTATAGTTGTAGGTAATGTCTTGAGAGAAACAAATTCTCCCCCAGCCTTGAGTGTGGTTTCTTTGACCTTAGGAGCCCAATAAACATTCTTTATGTTGAAAGAATGTTTATTGAATTAAATTACAGTTATTTAAAAATCTGTAACTGGTAAATATTTGATTTTTAAGTCTGTATCAGGTCACCACAAATCAGATTTACATACAACCTTCAACTGCAGATAACACAAAGTTTCTAAGTGATGCTAACAGAGATACCTTTTCCTTTACCATAGCAAATTAAAAATTTTAAGTTTACAGATGTACAAAACACTTTAGCCAAAACGTCTATTTTTAAGAAAAAAGAGCATTTTCACATTTTAGCCTAAATTTTAATTAATTCTTCCCAGTGGATCCAAAGCCTCTGGAACCCCTCTCGGTATCGTCCAATCCTTGAACTTCTTCTATTTCTGGGTAATAAATCTGTTCACAAATGAGCTGGGCAATTCGATCGCCTTTTTTTACTTCAAACTTTTCTTTGCCAAAATTAAACAGTACAACGCCAACGTTTCCTCTATAATCTTCATCTATGACTCCAGCTCCAACATCTATGAAGTGTTTGGCAGCCAAGCCAGAACAGAGACACAGACAGCCCAGCTGGCCTTCTTGCTCCTATTTACTTCTTCTCTTGAGCTTTCACTTTACTTTCTTAACCTAGAGCACTCAAAAGGGTCTGCTAAATCTCAGCAGCCTTCTTACCATCCCACACAGATGTTTCTTGGAAAGTTTCTTCGCTCTTACTTTCTACAACAGGTCTGAGGACTGAAAGTGAGGAAAATGATGGTAACTGCTCTGTGAAGAATGGTGTTCTAGAAATGATGGTTATCCTTAAATTTGAGCCTACCGAAATTTCTTCTTACAGATCCTTTTTGCAATCATCCAGGTACTAAAATGTAACCCAAAAATGTATCAACATAAAATAACATGAGAACACTTCAGATCTCTTCCAGGCTACCAGCTGTGCCACTTTCTTGGATACAGTTCTTTTCCCTTCAGTGTGAGATTTCTGAAAGTAGCTAAAGTCTAATTCATTCTGTGGAACATGTTTTATTGCATGGAAATTTGAGCAGGTATTCTGAAGTAGTAGAATAAATATTTGAAAGTTAGATTCCTCACATTGTTGCCAATAAGCCTTTTCCATTCAGTCTAAGCATCTTCAGTAACATTTTTAGCATTTATTAACATGTGCATCCTGTTAGAAGAGTTGGTAGACAAGGACCTCACCACAATTATGTTTTGGACTTCACCTCTAGAGAGAGAAGCTTGGTGGGAAGTGCTCCTAACCTAGAAAAATGGAAGTTTTCTGTTTCAAAGATCAACTGGATGTTTGCCCAGTGGCCTGGGGTAACCAGCTATTTTCTACATGGACAAAGCAACATAGCCCAGTGAGCCAGCTGGCTTGGTGGAAATTTTTCCTGCCTGCTGTGTGCAAGTTGCCTAATACTTCTGAAGCTGAGATCCCTGTCCCAGAGATCCAGCTTGCCTCTCTGCTGCTCAGTGAAGGAGGATCTAGAGGCAGGTCAGGGGTGGGGGGAAAGCCTGAGGTTCAGATGAACCACACTAGTGTCTATGGCATGGCAGATTTTTTGTTATTGACAGAACTGTTGGCCTTTTTTTCCCTTTTCATTTCTCAAATCTTAGAGAAACATTTAACAATATGATTTTTGCTCCGAGGCATAGGACCACT